GCTGTCTCCAGAGTTTCCAGACGTGAGTTTCACTCTGTCGCGGCGACTACATTTCTGACCAATTACCCAGCCATCGTTCGTTGTCACCGGCTCGAAGAGGCAGCGACTCAGCAACAGTACCACTGATGCGGCCCCGGGTGAGTCTCGCAGTTATATTCTCGTGTCGCGACACTTCGCTAACCGATTGGCAGCGTCCGCGTCCGACCGAAGGTTTATTGCGGACCGAGTGCATCGACATCAACTGTACCGGTTGCGGCGGTCCATTCCACTCGAGCTCCTCATCGAGGAACGCGACTACGTCACGTCGCGGCTAGAGGAATGGAAGACCGCTCTCAAGGACGTCAAGGAAGCCATTGACCTCTCGATGTCGAAGAATGCGGCCTAATTTTTCATAATATGCACTCTCCTTCCATATGTCTCTTTCCCTCTTGTCATTTATTTATGAAGTCGCGTCTCTTCTTCTCGCGCACCTCCTTTATGACCTTTTTCTTTTAGATACAACCCAGTATAGTCCTTAGGTACCAGCTAGCACCCAAGCAATATACTGAATTCTGTCTAAAACTGAGGAAGCGACGTCTTGTCGTGTGAGAGCCTGCCGCGACAATTACTTGCGCGCCAGACTTTCACTCGACAGAAGCTGGATCCTCTACAGGGTCGTCGTCGTCGTCGCTATCCGAGTTCTTGAGTTTCACACCTTCGAACTGGTAGTCGCGGACGTCAGATATTTCCTCCACCAACTCATCGAGTTTAGCAGGCGAAATATCTATCAGCTTCTTTATATCTTCAGAGAGTGTCAACTTCTGTCTTGCCAAATAGGGTATTACTCGGAACGCCGCGACTTTCGCATGGAACATCGCACCGTTCATTTCACAGACCAAGTAAGAACCTCCTTTGGTCTTTCGAACTACAATCATGGGTCCAAGATATCTAGCTTTCATCTTGTTGTCCAATGACTTTTCAATAGCTGTGTTCCTGACCAACACTAAGTCCCCTGGTACAAACTTGTAATCTTTGATCACATGCTTGTACTCGAGTTCGTAGCGTTGAACCATCTTTAGTTTGGCGTCGCTGACGCGGCTGCGCATATCTTCTATATGGTCGGCGTGTTTCGCTAGAGCGCGTGCTCTGAGACCAATGAGATCCGCAGAGTCGACGATCCGGTCAGGATATTCGACTAGCCACGTAGCTTCGACTATATCCAGAGGGATGGTAGGGTGGGCCCCACATACTGCGAAGTATGGTGAACAACCCAGCCCGCGACGCACTGTAATTCTATCTGCCCACAAGACCTGTGGGAAGAACCAAAACCATTTGGAGGCGTTTCCCCCAGTAGCTTTGTACAGTGACTGTCGAATGTCCCAGTGACCTCTTTCAACAGTGCCATTCGCTTGGGAATTGTAAGGAGATATCCTTATTCCCTTGATACCATATTTCTTTTGTAACCAATTCAACGCCGCGACAAATTGTCCTGCGTTGTCGGTTACAATCCACTTAGGGCACCCCCAGCGACACACTATGTCCTCGAGCAAGAAACGCGCTATTGCCTTGGCGTTGTCAGCCTGTAGCGGTCGCGCTTCCACGTAGCGGGTCAAAGAATCCCTTGCTGCGACGACATATCTGTATCCGTTGGAAGGCGTTCCCATAATCATGACGTCCGTATGTATCTTCTGAAATACACTGGGAGTCATCGTCGGCGTCGGTGGAGTGCGGAGGAGAGTTTTCTGGCGGACTTGGCAGCTATGACAAGTCTTTATCCACCAGTCGACGTCTCTTTCCATCTCTGGCCACCAAAACCGAGTTTCCAACAGGCTCTTAGTGCTGAAAAGACCCTTATGACCCAGCGCGTCGTGACACGCCTTCATCATATAAGTCCTGTGGTGCTTGTCCACGACCAGTCTATGAATCCCATTGGTCGATCTCTTGTACATTTTTCCATCTTTGAGGAAAAACTGTCGCGAGAATTTGAGAAACGATCTGAACCGTTTGTCTGTCATTTCAGGCCTTATGGAAGTGTCTTTCAACCACTTCCTAGCCATTACCAACTTATTGTCTTGTTCAATCCCTGTGCCCGTCCGGTGATCCTCAATGTAGGGATCCTCAGGATTGTCGCGCAGTTCGAGATCAGGCAAAAGTGGTTCTCCGTTTGCCACATCGTTCAACATGAAGACTGGGACGACGAGTCCTTGCGCGTCATATGCGTCTTTGACACGCCGATTCTCAGCGCGACGAGAGTCGCAAGCTTCGACTAGCTCTTTGCATATGTCGTCGACCGACTCAGCACACCCGACCATAGAGTTAAGGTAGCCACCTCTGGTGTCAATGTCCCTTTTGAACTCTTCAAAGTCTAATGGTTGCTCTGTGTCGTAGTCCCAATTCTCGTTGTTCTCTGGTGGTGGCTCGTCGAAGATTTCCTCTTCGTCATTGGGATACTCTTCATCTCCAGGCGCAGGTCGTCGTCGCGACAAGCCATCTGGTGAGAAGGTGATTCCTCTGACATGTTTCAAGGTAAATTGAAACATGAGGATCTCTTCAGCCCAACGGTTGATATTCGCATTCGGTAGGTTACCAACGTTTCTTAGCATGCCTGCCAAGTACAGCGCGTCGGTTTCGACTACCAATTTCCTACAACCAAGAAGCCAGTGAGCCATGGCTTGAAGCACGCGCTTTACGCCATAAAGTTCACGCTTCGGTTGAGAAAACCTAGCTTCTCGTTCTGTAAGTGGGATACTCCCAAATTTCGCGTAATAGACTTTCTTTGGATCGTCTGGGTCGCGCTGGTAGATTTCAAAACCCGCGGCCATCCAGGATGTGTCTATTGCGACGACAATCTCAGAGTCCCACTCGTAGTTCAGAGGCTTAAGCGACGGACAGACTTGTATCGCGTCTTTAAGTCTTTGAAATGCGAGCTTCTGTTTGTCACCCCATTCAAAATGCGCGTTTTTGTTCACCAGTCTCTGAATTGGTCGCGCCATTTCAGAAAATCCTCTAATGAACATCCGCATGACCCCAATCGTGCCCATGAACTGTCGAACTTCCGAGACGTCTCTCAAGTCTGGCCAACGCATGATTACACCAACTCTGTCCGCGTCAGGTTTTCTACCTTCAAACGAACAGATATGGCCAACCACAGCGAACTCGTCGGCGCAAACCACCGACTTGGTACCAGACAGAGTCGCGCCACAGTAACCGATTCTGTGCACGACGCGGTTCACATTCTGAAAGTGTTCCCATACGAAGCGACGGATCCCGGGATTTTCTGGAATCGTTTCACAGGTTCCATCGGATAACAGATACCTGGTTCCAGGTCCTCGAACGGGTACGTCGTCGATGTATGGAATAGTAACATGAGGGATTTCGTCTTTCAAAATGAAAGTAACGTCCTCATGGAATATTGGTACTGAGTTGGTCCACCCTTGTGGGAGTTTGACCAACCTCAGCGCACCGAACGGTGACTGGAATGTAGTCAAGTCGCGACTAGCTGGATCGATGTCACGCTGGTCGTAGCCTGAGTACAAATCTAGCGCAGCACCACAGGCGCGACCGGCGAAGTGGTTTGCTAACTCCTCTGTCGCGGGCGGCAATCCTGAATGCGCGATAGTAATTGCATTGAGTGGTTCTAGCGAGTGCACCAGTCTGATACTCTTCCCATCCTTCTTAAGTACAGCAAAGAACTTGCTTCGATAAGAGGAATTGGAAGGTTCATAGACCTGGGCCGCGATTTTGTCTTTTATGACCTTGCACACTTGGTCGAACATGCCGCGAGGTATAGGAATATTCCCTTCGCGATATGCTGTATGGGGAACTGTCGCGATCTTGACAGGAGGAAATATATCCTGTCTCAATGCGCCACGTTCTTCATCATTGAACGCGAAACTCTGATTATGAAGCATGTAGAAGTGCATGAGCAACTTCCGTTCTTCTGGTAATAAGAAGTCTCCCTTGTGTAGCTTATCCACAATCTCCCTGCGTTCCGCCGTGAATCTACCCGTTGGGGTAAAATCAGGTGGTCGCGGGTTTAGAGTAGGCAGCGTATCCAAAGGATCTCCCACCATTTCTCGAATTATTCGGTCGTCCTCAGAACCCATAGTGTACACAGGTCTGACTTTCTGGTCCACAGGTTTGTATTTCTTCCCTGCGAACACAGAGTATTTGTCGCGACTAGAAGAGTCGTCGTCTAGTACACTCCAAGTACCAACAGTCAGTTTTTCTGTTGCCGCGTCTGAAAGTCTTTCATTCATATATGAATGAAACAAAGTCGACGCAGCGACATCTTTCTTCATTTCCTTGTCCTCTTTCGACGACAAGATATATGCTTCTACTAGCTCAGTTTGGGTAAACTGGCCACTAGAACGCGGCTTTCTTAGATCCTCGAACACTACATTCCCATCCTTTCCCAACGACACAGTCACCGCGACTTCTTCTCCTTGACTCAACCTGGTCAATTCCTCGAAGCTCTTTGAAAATCCCGTTCAGGGTTCGGTTCGTCTGAACTGGTCGTCGGTTTCGACGAACTGTAGGGCTCGGTAGATCCGTCGTTGTTTTTGGTGTTACGCGGCAAGTCGTCTGCACGACGTGGCTGCGTAGCCATTGCACAACGTGTCTTTAAATTGGGATCGCGCATAGTGATTATTTGGCTGCCGTCGGCCGCGTTCTTGATATTGCTTTCTGTCGCGATATCAAACGGTCTGCCGAGCAACACCTTATAAGCTGGACTTTCCAAAATGTGCACCTGCAGGTAGACCAAGATGGTCCCAAACCTGAAGGGTACATTTCTCGCTAATCCCAGTGACTTAGAGATAGATCCATTTGCGCTTTCCATATATATGACGACCTTTGGGTCCCAGCTCAATTGTGCGTCGACGGCTTCTGAGAAAGCCATCGATACAATCTGAGATCCACTGTCTAGGATGCAGTCCGCGTCGAGACGCGCGTTAATCCGTCCGTTTATTGTTCTGAGAGCAGCTGACGAATCACCAACATAGACATGTCTTGGGTTCTCATTAGAGGGTATCGACTCCAAGTACATTCATATGGGTCCGTCGCGACAACTGCGCCAATGGGAATTTCTCCTTCCACTGTGTTATGATAGAACACAGGCTCGGGCAATTCCTTAGCACTGACTAGGTTGTAGCTCAGCTCTCCATCCCAAACGTCTTCAACGACGCGACCAGTTTCTTGAAGCATGGACTTCTGAACCGGTACTCGTTTCTTCGAAGAGTCCTTCAGAATGGAGTCGCGAACAGTCCCCGAAACTGCTAGGAGTTCACCCACAGTGACGTCGACTGACGCGTTTTTCATTTTGTCGTAGACTGCTTCTGCTACAGCCTTCGTTTGAATCGGTGCACGCAACTGGTATTTATCTGGAACGCGCGCTTTTGAAGAATGTACTGGTTCTTGTAGAACGGGCTTGACTTTCTCAAACGGTAGTTCCTTTCTCTTTTCGACGTTGTCGCGCACTGATTCCTCATCATCGTCGCTATCACTAACTTCTTCAATAATCACAGGTTTTCTCGGTTTCTCTCGTCGCTCAGCTCGTTTATCATGGTCCTCAGAGGGCTTGGCTGAGTTTGTGGGTTTAGCCCCCTTCCTTGAACCATTTAGAAACCCGAGTTGTTATCGTCGCGCTCAGGTTGGCTATTCGCACCACGACGGGTTTGAATGAACTGTTCCTGAGTCTGAGGATAACCACTGTTCATGTTGTTGAAGTAGCCGGCCATGGCGTCGGTCATGGCTTTCTGCATGAACTGGCCCATGGCACTTTCCATTGCGTTGCTGGTCGAACCAGATGCAGTTCGTTGAGTCTTTGGCTCAGCGCGACTCTCTGGGGTTGGCCGCGACGACTTCCTCTCATATTGGATGAGTTGACTTCGAAGGGAGCGTATCTCATCTGCCACTTCTTCAGGGTAGTCGGACATATCATCATTGTCGCGGCTATCGAACTGATCCAAGTAGTAGGAGTCTTGGAAATTGACGGACTTGCCCTTCTTCTTCCAATAAGCCTCTACTCGTTGTCCCTGAGTCCCTTCTCCATTTGGTAGGAAGCTGTCGTCGAAGAGCCTCCACATCCCTTTGGTGTCGACTTTGAGAAGGTTTTTCTCAATGTGAGACCTCTTGAGTGGGCACTCGTTCGACCAATGACCAGTTTGTCCACAGTAGCGACAGTCGTCGTTCCGTGCGGCAGCTCCTCCTTGTGCGCGACTTTCAAAGTGGGGCACAGAAGAGTTGTTGCCTACTGGCCGCGACCGCTGTATGGGCGCTTCGCGAGCAGTCTGTACGAACGTCTTCAGCGCTTCCTGCAACTGAGTCTGTAGCTCTTTTTGGTGTAGAAGAAATGAATCCTTCAAGTTGGAAATCGAGTTTTCCAACTCCTCAACCTTAGCATGGTTGGGTGGACTAGTCTCATAGTCGAAACGAACCTTGGGAGGTCGCGCGATTATGGGAATTTCGTCTTCGTTGCTCAACGTCGACGCCATTTCTTCCGCCATTGTCATTAGTTCTTTCAACTGGATGGGGTCGTCCTGCCGATTGACTCCAGTCGCGGGGACATTAGCGTTTGCTATCCCGGCGCGAGTTTGGTAGCGCTTATTGAATACTTGACTCGTAGCCAAAGCATTTCGCAAGACGGTACTGAACTCGGAGTCCAAAGTACGCATGTAGCGTTCACACGCGACTTTGTTGGTGATAATGGCAGGAGGGACTGACAGTCGCTTGTAGTGACTATACATTTGAAGGCCGAAACGCTTCAAATCTCCCTCATCCGTGATTTTGATTCCACGGTTCTCGCGACAGAGCCTGTCTAGATCTGCCATGGTCCCCGTTTTTCGCTTGGACACCTCAGGGTATCCTTTTAATATTTCGGCCTCGAATTCCGCGACAGTTTTCGTGTCGTCGGAATAGGTATCGAGACCTTCCCATACGTCCATCACTTGCCGCGACGGCAAATAACGGATGTACATGCTTTTTGCCTGTTTGACATCTGTGATGCCACCATCCTCCACGATCTGCGCGCAGTGACGCAAATATGCCTCAATCGACAGGGGATCCTTTTCATCAAGTATAGGTCTACTTGTGTCCCAAGGTTGAGGGATTTTGAACCCAGTCTTTGGAGCCATAGTTGTCGCGACTGAAGTCACAGGGGAAGTAGGGATGTTGTTAGAATTCGTGTTTGTAGCGGTGACGCTACTTGACAATTCTGAGAGGGTTTGTGAGCTAGTCTGAGATCGACTGATTGTCGTCGAACTCGAAGTAGCTGTGCCTAAAGCTAGAAGCTTCGACGTCGAATTCACTCTTTGTTTTCCTTTTGCCTTGGAAGGCAAGGGTGGTAGATACAAAGGTGTTTTATGTCTTGCAGACCTTCGTGGTTTTTCGAAAGGTCCTGAAGTTGAAGCGTTTCCTTCAGTCTCAATCTCCGCTTGGTCCTCGAGAGGTCGCGCGGGAGCTTGGGATCGAAATAAACTGCTTCGCGGGATAAACCCTTGGTCTCTATCCGACGTCGCGGTAAAGAATCCGGTTTATTGATTTTTAAAGTTTATGAAACTTTAGAAGCCCCTCGCGGTGGGCTCCAGATGAAATGCTGAGGACGTGCTCACAAGTGAATCTACTATGAAAGTAAACCCAAATATAAAACACGTTCACACTCCTCGTAATCAGCTTCTCAGTGTGTGAAAGATGCGAGGGCTTCGGGGTGGACAGAGCACCAGTATCACAACTCTCAATAGACGCAGATCCAATAGTCGCGGAGACGAAGTCGACGACAAGAATTTATATATAGCAAACAATGGTATCTCAACCAATATCTTCTATACGAACACAACCAACACTAATCCAATCCACAAACAACAATATAACAAGTCAGAGCTTAATACGAAGTATTAAGATCCCTTGTAGCGACAGCGTCCAGATGGCGACGCAAAACCCAAATATCAAGTCGACGCACTGCCAACTGATACAACCAATATACTGAGTCGACGCACTGCCAACTAGTAAACCAAAATGTCAAGTCGACGCACTGCCAACTGACACAACCAAAAGTACTGAGTCGACGCACTGCCAACTAGTAGAACCAAAATGCCGCGTCGACGCACTGCCAACTAACAGCCAATATCCAATGTCCAAAACCCGAGCACAACTTGTCGACGCACTGCCAAGCAAGAAGTGTGGAACCAAAGTTCTCAAGTCGACGCACTGCCAACTGACCAAAACAACCCGAGCACAACTAGTCGACGCACTGCCAAGCTAGAAGTGTGGAACGATCTCAAACAAAGCCCGAAGGCGACGACACTAAATGCCGCGACTAAATCAGATGCGGCGAATCCGACTTTCTGATGCCTCAAAACTCAAACTCAAATCACAGTAGCTACAAGTGCTCAGGGAGCAACTCGTCGCGACCGGGCAGGGGTAGCAGAACTTCTTAGGGTGGAACCACGCGGCACGCAAATTGTACAAAACAATCTGATATGAGAGTGATTCACAGTCCGGGGGAAAGCTTCCTAATACAAAGAGACGACGTGCTACTTATACTGTCTACGACGCTGCTTAGTAAAGTCCTGTACAACTGCATAGTAGCTACGCTATCTAAGATCGGTTGCCTTTTAGGGTAATTGAAAAGTTGAACGATCGGACAGGACCTGAGTGATCAGGACCCCGCCCTATTGTCCATATGATACTTTTGATGTGGGTCAACCCACCGCGTCATACTTTTGGAATACGACGTGCTGGATTGGCCAACGGGTATGTCTTGGCATGTGAGGCCAACGTGGGCGCCCCAAGAAGCCGTATGGCTCTAGGCACGCCGGTCGTCCCCCACATGGTTCGGTTCACGGATCTAGCCGTGCCGGTTTCTAGTGTGTTTGGGTATGGGCGCGACTCGCCGTGACACTTGGAAGTGTCACCGCGACGCGTCCACAATGTCCCGTGATCGAATGGATCCTGACATGTGACAAGTCGTCGTCGTGGCATGATCTGAGGAAACGTCCAACTCAAAACCGGGAGTTGCCGCGACAAGATGGTTTAAGTCTCGTAACGCCAAGTCCTGTCCAGTAGTAGTTCTATTATTGAGAACGTCGCGCATTGCTCAGCCCTTCAGCCCAAGTTCCCATCTGCAGAGAATGACCCTTTTCGAGAAGTCGACGCAACGACAGATCCCTTCCTGGGGAATGGTCGCGGTCCAAGCGTTCGTCACTAATGGCCCTGAGCCTGGCGTAGACTCATAAGACCAGTTCCACAGTAGTGGCCTGACTGCCTTGCTATCGTCGACACTATCCACAGTCGTCGACTGGGCAGTAGACCCATAAGTCCTACTGAGCGCAACACTGTCACCCGCGACACGATACACCGAATGGTTCAAGAGTAAACTCTGTAAAAAGCGCAAAAATACGCCCTTACAGAGCTGGTGCAGAGCGCGTCTGGTAGCCAGCCTATCACCGGTTATCCCCGCCGTTGCCCCCACCCCTCCGACGATGGTCCCTTCAACGGCGACAATCCCCTCGACTTCACATCTTCTTACACCAATGAACCCCAATCTCCCTTCCAGTCCCTTTGCGTTGGTCCCGCATTCATATCCATTTGACTTCACTCAATTCCGGCACCAGGCAGGAAACATTCAGCCCCCTCATACCCGTACACAGTCGGCACATTCACAAGTTCCATTGTATCCTACGCACTACCAGTTTTATAATCCGTAATCTCTTACTTCGCACATCATATAGTTCAATAGGCAGTTTTCATACATTATATCGTAGTAACATTCGATCTGTCGTCTGATTGAGCTCCATCCACCTAAGCCTCGACGCTTCGTTTGTACGCATCAAACTCCCGCTGCAAGTTCTCGTACTTCTCAATCCACTCGTCCCTGTCATTGATCATCCGGTTACGACTCTGCTGTGTCTCCGTATGACCCCAAATCTCCTGCCGGAGCAAGTCCCGAAGCTTCAGGTTGTTTCGACTGAGAACATTGATGCTCGAGGCCAGGGTGCGCCCTAAAAGAAAGTGAGCACGATTCAAGCCAAAGCATGCGACTCACAGATTCGGGCAGTCTCTTCTTCACTCGTCTCGTTGTCCGAATCATCTGGGTTCTCCGTGAGTGCATCGGGAATGTCGTTCTCGCTGTCCAGCTGCCGCAGTCTCATTCTCCACTCGTCAATACCATGATCTTGACGCAGTCGTTTGGATGGATTCTCTGCGGAGGAGTTGGCTATGTGCACAAGGACTGGGCTGGATTCGGGTGTGGGCGTAGCAAAGTCTTCTTTGACTTGCTCGAGGTAGTCGAGGCGGTCAATGGACATGGCGTGTGGGAAAAACGGCACTGTAAATCAGCGGAAGTTTGAAATGCTGTGTGACGGAATGTGACCGAACGCGTCAGTTCCTCGAGTGGACGTTGCATCTCTCGACCCACTGGCCGGACTGCCCCGGAATAAGTTGCAGACACTGTGTAAAGGTTATAGGCATCTCCGAACGCCTAACTGGATGCATCCGCGCAGATCATCCTTAACGGGACCGCCAACTTGGTTTGGGAGGGCTCAATGAGAGTACCAGATGCGTGCGGTCAACAAATTGTTGACGGATTTTTCCCCTCTAAGTTTGTAGGATTAACTAATGGTATGTAAGGTAGAAATTCCGGATGATACTAAGAGTAATGAACGATATGCTACGAAATAGGACCACATTTTCGAACTTCGTGTGCATTTTCGATCTTGATGGCATCAATAGTACTGCCGGCATCTCACCCGGCAATCTGATGCGTCCGGGAAGTGATCTCGAGGAACTTCCAATTAGGAAGTGGCCCAAGAGACAACAATGGATCATGGAGCCAGGCACGTAAATATCATGGAGGGGCGTCAGACAAATCCTTGGGCTATGAAAACATGGATAGAATGGTATCTGATACATGCATGTGGATATGAATAAAGTGTGCAGTGCACATATGAGCTGCTTAATGGAACTGGAAGCGGAAGAGCTCCTCGAGATCAATCTCGGGCACGTAATCGAAGGATTTGAACTCGGTGTCGTCAATAAGGGGCTCCTGAGGGGTCGCAACAGAAGGCAGGGGTAGAATCTGCTGATCAACGCGTTCCTTCTGCACCTTGTGGTCAACCGCCTCGGGATCCACACTTGGAAGCGGGTCAGCAGCGAGCGGAATAGTGTGGTAGGAACACAAACTTGGCTGTCTTGACGGGAGGAGGCTTGGTAGGCGGTGCCACTGGAACAGAGCGACTGCACCATATCGTGAGCGAGCAGAAAGAGTTCGATGAATGTATAGAACATACTAGTTGTAGATGTTCCGGCCTCTGTTGAGCTCAAACGGATAGTCCCTGCGATTCAGGGTCAATGCCATCCCCAGTATCAAGGCGATGCCACCAGCAACTTACTTGTAGTGAGTTGCACGCATCGGGTCGAAGCGCTGGACCCTGGTCCGGACGGAGTGCGCTTTCTTCATGTGGAGGGATGGTTGGTATGAGGGGAGAAGATGTGATATGTGTGAGAAAGAGACGAGGACGTGAGGGTATAGAAAGATGGAGCAGTGGGTGGTGGGACAGAGTGGGGAAACCGGCAGCGCTTTTTCAACAATTGCAGGATGGCCAAAGCCGACCAAACGCGCTTTGGCTCTCAAGCCACACTGCGGTAAAGCACGCCGAGTGCCGTCGATGGCAGGCACAGAGGAGGGCCGGGCGCTTCACGAATGAGTGGAGACGGCGCTGTGAGTTGGCTGGCCAATGCTGATGATGTGTCCAATTTACGACACTGTGTTATCAGCTGACGCTCGCCCAAATCTATCGATGGAAGCGATCAATGGTCCGAGAGCGAGAAACAATCGCCGGCCAGAGCTCAGAAAGCAGATCGTCGATAGTTCTGTATGGCGTGAACGCATTCGTTTCCAGATCGATCAGCCGGTAGGGTGAAATATCGCTCTCAAGGATTGGCCGACAAGAAGCCAGGACTGCAGAGCAGACAGAACGAGATCTTGATCCTCGAGGGCGAACAGGTCTAGTCTGGATAACTTGGAGACATGGCGGACATATACGCTTGATCCTCGAGCAGTGGGCCGTGTTAGATGTCAGAGCGAGCATTTCACAAGGCATCATACGTGCCAGCTTGGTGATCGAAGGGCCAAAGGCCAAAGACCCTCGACGAAAAGTGAGTCACAACCAACGTACGATTTACCAAGAAGCCCTAGCCCAGAGGGCACGACACATGAGTTGTGGTTCCGTCGGTAGATTCACTGTTGTATTCCCCGCGCGACAAGTGCGGTCGGAAGTATAGAGGGAAGGCAACGTGTGCTGGACCCAGGCTTCGGCCAAAAGGAGCATTCACGCGAGATAAAGCGTAGCCCGTGTAAATCCGTGGAGAGTTGAACAGTCGGAAGACGAGACTACAGCTTGCAGGAGCGCAAAGGTTAGCTCGCAACAGCTTGACAGCCCCTCGACAGCTTTCGTGGCAAGAGTGACCAGGGGTGACTGGGTCACTTTGTCCCGCCTCTGATTCCGCTCCATCATCTGCATGGATTCTACAGCTTCCGCACCGCGTACCGAGATCCCAACCAGGACGCTCGCGTGTTCTCACAGTCGAAAGGCTATCCTGTTGACGACGAGGCGGGATGTCTACTCCGCCCAGCTGTATGCATAACCGAGGTCAATGACGGCAAAGGAGATATAAGAAGGCAGCGCCAATGCTGAAATCCCATCGAACATGCAATCGCTATTCGCCTTCGTGTGCCTCACCCTGGTGTCTGGCGTCCTCGCCTCCATCTCGGGCCTTCCCGCCGCGGACGTGGTCGTGCCTGTGACTGGGCATGTCCCTCGCCGCGCTTCGAAGCGCTTTGCGTCTCCGGCAGGGCGCAAGCAGACGCCTCAATCCGCGCTCCGACTTGACGGCGCCGCATTCGACAAGGAATACCTCGTGAACATCACCGTCGGCGGAAAGCCGTTCCAGGTCATCCTCGACACCGGAAGGTCTGGCATGTCCTGTCTGCAGTCTACAGCGGCTGATCTCTCCATCCATCGCACAGCTCAGACACCTGGGTCGCCCACACCAACTTCAGCTGCTTCAATCTCACGGGCGCATCGATCCCTGCGAGTGCGTGCGACTTCGGTCCGGCAACCTTCGACCCTAGCGCATCCCCCACGTTCACGGTGTTCCCGAACGCGACGTTCTTCGTGCGCTACGGCTCCGGTGAATCGCTGCGCGGGCCCGCTGGATTCGACACGGTCTCGGTCGGCAGTGTGCGCGTGCACCAGCAGGAGATCGGCGTGCCCAACCACAATGCGTTCCTGGGCGATGGTGTCTCGGAGGGCGTGCTGGGGCTGGCGTTCCCGTCATTGACCAGTGTGTACAACAACACAAGCGATGGGCTGGTCCAGATGCGGTACAGTCCGTTCTTCCAGACTGCGTTCCAGCGGGGGATCGTCAAGAAGCCTTGTGGGTGTCCATCGCGAATGACTCGGGACAGGAGCTGACGGCGCGCAGACTTTTCGAACTCGCTGAACCGGCCGACTCTTGCCCAGGCCGCCAACGATCCTGTTGATGCCAATCTTGGGCTGCTTGCATTCGGGGGGATCGTCCCTGTTCCTGTGACCGGTGTTGAGACGACCGTGCCAGTCACCCAGTGGCTGTTCAACGCGGCGGGGTCGCTCGTGCCAACGGCCAACTCGAGTGCCGGCGAATACGCGTGGTACTCCCTCAACGTCACCGGCTACGATTTCCCGGGGAGCACATCTATCCCCACCAGCAGCAACAACACGTTCGTCGACTCCGGCACAACCGTGAACTACGTCGCGACTCCCGTGGCAGCCGCCTACAACGCGCTGTTTGTTCCCCCTGGTGCATTCGATCAGGAGCTGCAGTCCTTTGTGGTTCCGTGCAACGCCACTGCTGCGGTACTGAGCGTCGTTATCAACGGAAAGCGGTTCGAGATCGATCCCCGGGACCAGGTGGTTCCGCTCCAGAAGGGCAGTGACGGCAAGGAAATATGCATCTCCGGGACGCAGGACGGCGGGCCTGATGTTGCTGGAAACACGTTCGTGCTGTGCGTGCCCCGCATCAGTTCCTCGCTGCTTTTCTCATGCGGTGCTCTTCTAGCGGCGATGTGTTCTTGCACAACGTGGTGACCACTTACAACCCCATTGACGCGGAGATCACCTTCACTCAGCGCCAGCCGTACTGAGACGTGGCCCATGGCTATACAAATCCGAGGGAATTGAAAGGGTGCATTTCTCAATTTGTCGCGATCTTATTCTTTCTTGAACGGCACGTCCTGTGCTGATGTTGATTCTGTTCCAATTCTACGCTGCTTACTATCTGCTACCCACGGGATACCAAGATCTCGCTACGGAACGTGTGAGTGCGGTCCAGGTCAGCCATGGGACTCGCTGCCCAACTGGCGGAGTCCCCCTTGGTATGTCAGATCGTATCGAGCCTGCCAGAAACAAATCTGCGCCGCGCTACGGATCGTCGTGGATGGTTTAAAGGAGAGTATGAAATGGAAGGTCGGTGAACAGCAAGCTGCCAGACCGCATGGGCAGAGTTTTTAGTCGTCGTCTTCGTCAACCTCGCAGTTTCCCGGAAAATCCATGTTGCCCAGGTAGAGAGGATGAATTTCGAGAGATCAGCAGAACGAGTGAACCATTCTGACCTGTTCTGACTATGACATTATTGCTGATACTCTGAACCAGGTCCATTTCTGTTCGTATAGAGAACAAATGTGAAGTACAAGATTATAAGAAGAAGAAAGAAAGCGAGGCATTTGGAGATCCGATGCAAGACATAGAACGAAATTCAAACTGCGGTGACTGGCTGAAGTTTCAGCGCTTCCTCGCTCGGTCTGCTGGGGAGCGAATAACGGTGTCTCTGACGATGGAGGAAGCGTGTCGGCCAGAGCGAGATGAACATCGACGTGGTCATGGCGAGCGGCAGCGCTTCGAACAGGTAGAAGTACAGCTCTTTATTGGCAACGGTGCCGTTGTATCTGCAGTGAGCAGGTCACTTTCACGGAAATCTTCCTGCTGGCTGGACAAGACGTACCCTCCAGCGAATTCAACCACGCGGTAGACCGTGCGCACCAGAAGTCCGCCGCAGACAATGAAGATCATGTAGACCAGCAGGCGCCAGGTGTCGATCGGCCCCGCAGACATTATCTTCCAAGGCGCCCCCTTGGTGGGTTTCCACAGATGAGGGTAGTCGTTGGACCTGGCGTCGTGAATCAGAGAGTGAGTCAGGGACATGCAAACCGGCCTTACATTCGGATAGTGAAAGAAGTCAGAAGGTAGATGAAGAGCAGCAGTGTGGCCGCCTGGAGAATGAATCCGGTCAAGACAATCTACGAGATTGAGTTACAACTGAAATCCTCTTGTGGCTGGAGGACTCAAATACCTTGGAGCCCGCTGCGGCGAGAGAATCATGTTGCGAGACAGTCAAAGCTCCGCCGCCACCCTCCAGCAGGAAACTGACGAGATTGCTCCCGACAAAGAACGTCATAATGCCTGAGGGGCTGACGAAAAGACACCGCGAGACGACATCGGGCTCGAACGTATTGCCCAGATGAGCGAGAAGAAAGTAGCATGTGGCGATAAAGAAGCTGGGCTGCAGGCTGTCAGTGCTGGTTTCGCAGTGCGTGCGAGAAAATCAGCACCGAAAGAAGAATCAACTGCAAACGATGTTAGCAAAGATTGGATCCGTTCTGCCTGGCGAGAGTGGAGATGACACACCAGATCCCAGGCGATGTACTTCCACAGATAGAAAGGCGGGGCCCCGTCCATGGCCCGGAGGAGGAAACCAGTCGTGAGCGCTTGACCGTCGTCAGCAAAGGCGGCTGGACTCGATCGTGGGCTCATAGCATACCGATCATTCCGACAACGTAAGTAAGCAGAGAGAGCTTGATTGGTCGGACCCAGATGAAGTGGATCAGAGACACGACTACCGATTGCGCGAATGCGATGATTCCCATGGTGGCAAAGTGTCGCTAGAGATGGTATGGTTCATTTCTCGAAGAGCAGATTCGAATCGGGGGAGGCTTACTGAAGGCACATATCCAAGCCTGCTCACACACAGTTCACAGTTTAGACCCGCCTTGTCAATGAGTAGATGGATCCACTCACACATGGACGGAGGAGGGATCGGCCGTGCCCCGCTCGGCAATTTCTGCTGCGAAGACTGATGCGAAAGAGACAGTTAAAGTCAAGAAAAAAGCAAGTCGAGACATGGGGAGACCAGTCAGAAGTTTGGAGTGGTTGAGTATATTAGTACGCTTCCGCCTGCTCACCTTTATACGTACCACCATTCCATACGGCCACGAGGTAGTTTTCGACGGGACAGACCAGGTTCCGAAGACATCCCGCAGTAGTAGAAGGTGGCTGTTGCCACTGGAATCGTTGAGAGCTCGCTGCATTTTCATTTCGGGAAATTCTCAACAACCTGCGTCAGTCGGCGCCCCCATTGGCAATGTCTGTTTACGAAAACCTTCACACGGGATGCTTGATGCTTACTGTCGTCCGGGGAGAAGCTCGGTTTGAGATCGTGCTCATGCAGAACCATCATGGACACCCCATATTCGTATCTCTTGCGGTACCTCTTTGAGACCCAAAAAAGGTACCTCGATGGTATTGGGCGAATGTGGGCTGGGCGGCAGCTGGGCGCCCCTCAGAGAAGTGGGGGGCCCCAGCCACATTTTTGTGGGCGTTCAGCGGGCGTCCTTGGGCTTCCTCATGGGTGGGCCCTTGGCTGCCGAGTCCCCGGGTCCTTGTGACGTGCGCAACACTAGAGAATATACTATTTTTTTTTGACCTATTTGGGAAGTAAAAGTCAGCTATTACTTTTCAATCTCTTCAATGATACTGACATAGAATGTAAATAAGAGCTAGATTTATGAACTTGAAAATGTCTATTCTACTATTGGATGGTGACCAATGTCAATAAGATAAAATGTACTAAGTAGATTAGATCACATTTCTACTTGTATGACCTGGGCAGAGCAGGAGACCATATCAGTCTTATTTGCTCTGTACCAGGTGTGTCTTGTTTCTATTCCTCACTGTACATTTAATTATGGAGGCCTGGAAAAACATGCTGATTTGCAGCACCAAATGTGATTGATGCGTTGATCAATTGATGATGGCAATCAATCGGTAGTGCCTTGGTCAAGTGTATAAATTAATAACAATGTTGGACATAGAGAGAAGACATAATATATTTTAGAACTCAATCAAAACCAACATTCATTCACATGTTCACAATCCTCCAGGGGTATCTCATCCAAAAACCATGCAAATATGTCATTGACATCTTTAAAGCTCTCATCACCTCCAATGTTGGGCTTGACATCATTCAACATTCCATACAGTTGGCTTTCATGTTCAGAATCTAGAAGTATCAATCAGTTACAGTCCAAAAATCAGTCAGAGAATGTACAAAGCATGTGTCCACCATTCACACCTCCCAGGTAGTAATCCTTGCTGATGATTCCCTCACCTCCATGGAGCTCTGCAAGTCTGGAAAGAAGCTTGACCTCATCCTTATACTCCTCTTGTGCTTTAGACAAGGTGTAACCTGTTGAAGCTGTAGAGGCAACCTTGAGGCCATATCTTTGAGTCCTGGCAAGGCTAATCCAAAGTGTCAATCAAGGGTAGCTAGGTACAAGACCAGTGAAATGCTGAGGGCGTGCTCACAAGTAAATCTACTATGAAAGTAAACCCAAGTATAAACACGTTCACACTCCTTGTAATCAGCTTCTCAATGTGTGAAAGATGCGAGGGCTTCGGGGTGGACAGAGCACCAGTATCACAACTCTCAATAGATGCAGATCCAATAGTCGCGGGAGACAAAGTTGACAATAAGAATTTATATATAGGAAACAATGGTGTCTCAACCAATATCTTCTATACAGCCAAAACCAACACTAATCCAACCACAATCAACAATATCACAAGTTGGAACTGAATACAGAGTGTTACAGCCCTTTCGGAAAAGCTTGGCCGCAACAGATTTTTGTCAACCACTTGTAAAATTTGATGAAATGATATGATGGACCATATATAGACTTAGCTCCGGATATTGATCCGCTTAGGGCAAATTCTCCTTGCCATTGTCTTGCACTCTTTCCAAAATTCTATGGGATATCGCCATTTCAGCAAGGACCTGAAATTGAGAGTGATCTGGCTGCTGTAACAGGGCTACCTTTTGGAGGATGCGTGCAAAATTCTTGGGGTGTCAGAGCAGAGTTTGAGGCAATGGAAGGCAAATTTGGAGGCACATAGACAGCTTATCCCTCCCCCAAACCCAGCGGGTGGACGTCCTCGTATTTTGGGAGGTCTTCAGGTCAATGAGCTCTACAATCTGCTTGAGCAGTGGCCAGAAATGTATCTGGACAAGATAGTGGATTGGGTGGTCATTACTCAAGACACAGCAATATCGTGCACAGCAGTCCATGAGCTCATCAAAGATGCTGGGCTGAGCTATAAGTTACTACGGAAGGCTGCGGCGGAGAGAGATGAACAAGCCAGAGACAAATGGAGGGGTTTTGTCGAGCAAACACTCATCTCTTCCATGGTCGTCACGGTTGATGAGACTAGCAAGGATGAGCATAAGATAGCCAACATCCGGATCCATCGAGTCACGTGAACTGTTACATGTCACGTGTCACAGCGCAAAATCTCAGAGACCATTCACTTCATGCACGGCGGGAGGTTTTACAGAGTAACACGAGTCATTTTCATGAATAGACTACAGCTGCTTTGCCCTAAACTCATTTTCCACATCCCTCAAGTAATCTGCAGGTAAGGTCCGATGGCCTCTGTATTGTTTGTTTGTCCAAGCCGCCTCCGCTCCGTTCAGACCGTGGAAATATGCATCAGCAAAGCGAGAAGAACGTGTCGCAAACCGCCGCATTGACTCCAAGGGGACGGATTCGAGAGCCTCGTTGACATTGCGAATTAAATTGGCTTCCTTGGTGGACTCCGGAAACATGCGATAGACTTGTTTCGCATAGCCCCAACATTGCTCGATAAAATTGAGCTCGGGGTGGTATTTTCGGAAAAAGATGACTTCATAACCTCGCGCCTCGCAGTGTTCCTCCAGTTGAGATTTCTGAGCTTGAAAATCCGGCTCACAGTACAGAATCTTCTTCAGGCAGCAAGATCGGGAGTCTTCGTAACGGCATTTGAAGTTGTGACACTCCAGATGCAACTTCTTGTTGTTAATCGGGTTCCGCGCGTCAGGATCAGGAAGATCATGGCCCTTTGCGCGTCGTTCCATGATTAGTGTCTTCGCACCCTTGAACCTGCCATTGGGGAGGTAAAGCGATTGCGGAGAATTATCCTTGAACCTGCCATCGCGCATGCGGACAGTTTTCGCGACACCATTGACTTTGGTCTTGTTGAAGTTGGCAGAGGGCCCGAGAGTGACTTTGAGGGCGCTGAGAGCATCGGGAGCGCGGGCAGTGTGGATTTTCGCGTTGTCATACGCAAACACATGTTTCTCCCTGGGATAGTCCCGGTCCAGAGTATTCATCACGCGTGTTGCCTGAGCCAGAATGTCTTCATTGGTCTGATATCTGTCCCGAGCCTTTCCTGGACAAAGGACAACCTCCGCATTGTCCATGGATCTGTCGAAGGTCAGATTAGATTGACACACGGAGATCGGGCTTACCCATCCGGTCCCACCGTCTTTGCTTTAAGCCATCCGTAGTCCGGAGAAACAAAACGACCAATCATCAGGCTCACACCCTCGCCTTTGGCCTTGATTGTTGCCCCCTCCGTCTCGTGAACCCAGTGGATGGTGCGGCGGTCATTGGCATAGAAAGTCGATTCGTCATGTCTCCAGATCACAACGACACGCGCATCTTGATCATTTCCCAGGAAGGCACGCATCGCTGTGTCGTGACTGATTGATTGCTCACTGTGTCCCTGCGTCCACCACCGTGTCCTGGCCTCCAATTCCTTCCACCGTGGCAGAAAGACGTGTTGGCGAAAGTGCACAACATCGGATTGTTTGTGCCCATCGGAGTATTGGCCTTTGACTTCCTTCTTCCACCGATAACCCATCCTTTTCATCCATCGTTGCGCTGTTCGTTCGGTGATACAGCGCTTGACATGCAATCACGCTTGGAACTCCGGAGTGGCCACATAACGGACGATCTGCTTGGCCGAGACCCACTTTCCCAGACTCTGCAAGTGAAGATGGATGTCCACAGCAATGTCTTCGTCGGCGAGGATGGTGGACGTGAATCGACCGTACAGGTGCGTCGGCAGCTTTGAGTCTCCGCAGAAATCTATCGCCCATTCCCGCAGTTTACGTGCCATCCAAGTCTTGGTCCCCTGCTTCCCACTCGAACTTGCAATCATCTCTGAATACAGCGACCATCCCGAGTAACCAGCAGCGCAATACAGACGTAAGAAGCGAATCACGCATTCCATTCGTGCATAGGTGACCAGGTCCAGTTTCGATTTCGAATGCCCTTGCCCCTTGGCCCATCGTGGATGCAGCAAGTCCTGCAGTTTTGGTATCCCGGCGTCAATGGACGTGTTGCTTGGAACGGCGCGCGGGACAGGATGAGGAGTGTCGCCGGATGGCGGATCATCGGGTGGAGGTGGAGATGGCGGCGGTGGTCGGGAAGGGTTGGCGGGCTTGTGAGAAGGTGTGCCATTCCTCTCGTATCCTGGCAAACGCTTTTCAGAGGGATCCCATATGTCATCCAGGCCCTCCTCCGCTCGTTCGAGATCATCAAGAACTGCTGGCTCTGCGCAATCAAGAAGGTCTTCATCTTCCGGCACTTCCTTGACAGAAGGTCGTGGTGGGGGTCGCATAGACTGCATTGGCTCAACAGCCTGTGTTGTCTCCGTCGTCTCCGTGATCTCCAATAGCTCGACATCGTTCATTTCCATGTCTGAATCCTCCGGCTCGATCCCAGAAACTGACGGCTCTGACACAGATGATGGCACCAAAGTCCGTGGCTTGAAGAACGCGAGGAGAGACCCCAACTTCAAGCCGAGCCGCTGGTCCTCTCTCGCCTCTCTCTGAGCCTGGTCCCGTTTCTGCTTCGCGTGGTGCTGAACAGTGCGTTTTTCAGGAGCTTTGTCAAGTTTATTGGTTGCATACTGGCCTCTCAGATGATTAGGTGCGTGGTTACACAAGCTCTGGAGATGATCCGCCGTAACCTTGAGCCATCCCTGCAGACTCTTCTCGTCCTTTGGCTGCAGCACATCATCTTCGACCTCGATATCCAGCAGCTCGTCTCCCGAGTCGTCATCCCCACTGTCTGCCTTCCCCTCTGCAACACCATCCTCCTGCCCAGATTCATTGCTGCATGCCTGTGACACTGGTTCCGAGTCCGTGCGTGGTCGCTTGGGTGGCTTCGAGACCCCTTCCTTGGCGTATGAGCCCAGGTTCTTGATCCTGCCATTGGCTTTCCTCTTCGGCATCTTGATTAGAGTTGACAGATGGCCACTATCGCGATGAAAAGGGATTGATATGAACCACACGTGATTGAGATCTGATCACCTGACTGCTTACATATATCTAGCACGTGATTGCGCAAAATATTCGAAGACTTTTCTTAAATTACAAGAGGGAGGGAAATGTGGAACCATAGAAGTCTCAAGGAGGCTATATACTACATTTCTGTATGTTTAGTTTATAAAAATTCTCCACCCTCGTTCACCGTTGTTGCCGTCACTCTTTGAGCCACGTGACTCGATGGATCCGGATGTCGGCTATCTTACAATCTTCCGACGATATGGACGTGCTCCTAGTGGCCAGTGGGCTGTCACAGGGGCCAAGTTTGTGTGCAGCAAGAGATACAGCATTGTGGCCGCTCTCACTGATCAAGGATACATTGTTCGTATCGTGTTGGGTTCTGTGGACTCAGATGAGTTTTATGACTTCATTGTCAATGAAATTGTGAGTTTACAGCCTCGATTGACACTGTTACTCATATCATTTATGGTCAACTGCCTAAGATGAACCGCTTTCCGAACAACAACAGCGTTCTGATTCTAGACAACTGTGCCATTCACAAAAGCCAAATTCTGCAAGAACTCATTGAGGCTCATGGTATATCCAGCTCAAATTTGAAGAGATGATGAATCATTACAGACTTCTTCCAGGCTGTTGTCTTTACTTTCTTCCGCCATACTCTCCCAATTTCAATCCGATCAAAGAGAGCTTCAGTGCTGTAAAGGCATGGATTCGCCGTCATTGGCGCCATTTACAAGACAGTGACACTCCAGAGCTGGATCTGCTCGAAGCTTGTGGTGCAGTCCATGCGGGTAATGCTACAGGCTGGTTTGTACATGCCAGTTTTCGAGTGGTCCCTCAGTAAATACAGCTGTAAGGGCAACTCCTGCTAGCCCAAAGGAAGAGAGCACACAGCATACAACAACCTCACATGAGTATGAGCACAGAGAGCAATTCTTAGAGACTGTCAAATACAAAGGATGTATGCTACTCACCTGAGCATAGAGGAAGATCCTTAGAGAACAGTTCAAGGATCTATATGTCTAGGTATCACACTATATAGTGAACTGTGATGAATGACTGATCATGATGGGATATCACTGCCATGGAACAATAGCAGATGACAAGTAAACTATGACACACCCAGATAAAATAGTGAGTGGCTCAGAGAGGCCAGTGATGGCCAGCTCCTGAGACACTAACAGTGAAAGGCCACACTAGAGGAGCCCAGTGGCCAGGCCAGTACTGGGCTGGGGAGTGGAGATATCAGAGGCCAGGACCAATGCCAAACTGGGAAGAGGGGTGGTGTGGATGAGCGCAAGGGCATCTGGTGCGAGCCTATATGACAGTAGACCACATCCACGGGAAGAAGGCCGAAGTAGAGGGGGAGGAGTGCATACAGCAGTAGCACTCCCTGGTGCAAGGAATTGGGCTTGGCTAGACCGCTTGCGGGGATTTGAGGGAGATGGCCAGGGGAAGGAGGAAGAGGGCAGATGTTGGCATGAATGGAGACAAGGATCGGAGGAGGAGGAGTAGGCTGGGTGATTGACAGGTGAGCAGGCACGGGTCGGCAGAGAGGGCGCAGTGGGTCACGTGTATGGTCACGTGCCCAAGGAGTGCGGCGTCCCCTGACAGCGAAGATGAAATGTATTAGCCTCTGTCAGGGGAGACGCATCAGCGTGATGAGGTCATCGGTATTGATCCGGCGGTATTCCGAGGGTTATCAGTCAGCGGTGTCATGCTTCTTACATCATCTACTTGTATATAGATAGTTGCTGGTGATCTCTGATCCCCAGTCTTGTTATTGACTTGGCCTCTGGGCTCCACTCCCCTTACAGCCTCGAGAAATGACAACAAAAGGGTATTGTAGGCAGATGGGAGAATAGATAATATGCAAGTCCGAATCATGAGAAGATAAGTAATATAACTGTGCGAGAGAGATAGTTAAGACTTTAGAGAGTACTTGTATTTTCTATATGACTTCAGCACGCGCTGCCAGTCAAAGAGCTTGAGACCAGCTGCTCTCCACTCTGACTCAGGCACAATCCCAATATCATCACCAATCTTGAAGTGCAGCCTCTTAAACAGCCCACGTGTCCCATCAGCAAGTTCTGGATAGGACGCAAAGAAGTTGGAAAGTGATGCGTGGACTGGAACTGGTAAAGAGGGTTGCTGGGGAGACTCCCTTCTCCGCTTTTGGGAACGGTCGGGTGAAGCATCCAATGAGCGTTGACAATTGGGCTGGGAATTTTGGGACGGATCTGCCCACGGCATCAACGGAGGGCCTGGTGGATAGCCATGAGTCGGGTATGGCAAATATGGTGCGTACGGCATCGGGGGTCCATAGGCTAGTAGTTGGAATCCATATGGTGAGTTTGGGGCTATTGGCATACCAAATGCCAGATGAGCAAACAGGGGGAAGATACCACCTGGACCTGGTAGTACAGTGTTTGCTGGTGAGACGGTGATAGGCTGGCTACCAGACGCACTCTGCACCAGCTCTATAAGGGCGTATTTTTGCACTTTTACAGAGTTTACTCTCAAACCACTTGGTGTATTGTGTCGCAGTTGACAGTGTTGTGCTCAGTAGGACTTAATGGTCTACTGCCCAGTCGACAACTGTGGATAGTGTCAACAATAGCAAGGCAGTCAGACCACTACTGTGGAATTGGTCTTATGGGTCTACACCAGGCTCAGGGCTATTAGTGACGGACACTTGGACCGCGACAATTCCCCAAAAGGGATCTTTTGTTGCGGCGACTCCTCAAAAGGGTCATTCTCTGCAGATGGGAACTTGGGCTGAAGGGCTTAGCAATGCGCAACGTTCTCAATATTACAACTACTACTAGACAGGACTTGGCGTTACAAGATTGAACCAATCTTGTCGCGGCAACTCCCAGTTTTGGGTTAGACATTTCCTCAGATCATGCCACGGCAACGACTTGTCACATGTCAGGATCCAATCAATCACGGGACATTGTGGACGCGTCGCGGTGACACTGCCAAGTGTCACGGCGAGTTGCGCCCATACCCAAACACACTAAAATCAACACGGCTAGATCCGTGAACCGAGCCATGTGGGGAACGACTGGCGTGCCTAGGGCCATACGGCTTCTTGGGACGCCCACAATGGACTCACTTGCCAAGACATACCAGTTGGCCAATCCAGCATGTCGTATTCCAAAAGTATGACGTGGAGGGTTGACCCACATCAAAAGTACCATATGGACAATAGGGCGGGGTCCTGATCACTCAGGACCTGTCCAATTGTTCAACCTTTTCATTACCATAAAAAGTAACCAATCTTAGATAGCGTAGCTACTATGCAGTTGTACAGGACTTTACTAAGCATTGTCGTAGACAGTATAAGTAGCACGTTGTTTCTTTGTATTGGGGAGCTTTCCCCCAGACTGTGAATCATACCCATATCAGATTGTTTTGTACAATTTGCGTGTCACGTAATTCCACCCTAAGAAGTCCTGTTACCCTTGCCCAGTCGCGACAAGTTGCTCCCTGAGCACTTTTAGCTACTGTGATTTGAGTTTGAGTTTTGAGATATCAGAAAGTCGGATTTGCTGCTCCTGGTTCAGTCGCGGCATTTAGTGTTGTCGCCTTTGGGCTTTGTTGAGATTGTTTCCACACCTCTAGTTTGGCAGTGCATTGACTAGTTATGCTCGGGCAGTTTTGGTCAGTTGGCAGTGCATCGACTTGAGAACTTTGATTCCACACTTCTTGCTTGGCAGTGCGTCGACAAGTTGTGCTTGGGTTTTGGACATTTGAATATTGGCTGTTAGTTGGCAGTGCGTCAACGTGGCATTTTGGTTGTATTGGTTGGTAGTGCATTGACTTGATATTTGGGCTTTGCGTCACCATCTGGACGCTGTTGCTACAAGGGATCTTAATACTTTGTATTAAGCTCTGACTTGTGATATTGTTGGTTGTGATTGGATTAGTGTTGGTTTTGACTGTATAGAAGATATTGGTTGAGACACCATTGTTTGCTATATATAAATTCTTATTGTCAACTTTGTCTCCCGCGACTATTGGATCTGCATCTATTGAGAGTTGTGATACTGGTGCTCTGTCCACCCCGAAGCCCTCGCATCTTTCACACATTGAGAAGCTGATTACGAGGAGTGTGAACATGTTTATACTTGGGTTTACTTTCATAGTAGATTCACTTGTGAGCGCGCCCTCAGCATTTCACTGGTTGGGCCGGAGCAGGTGCAGGCACCGCTGAGGCAGCCTGGGGACGGAATTGGGGGGTGGTTGCAGCATGCAATGTCCATACAATGCCTTGTGTAGTTGATTGCGCAGAGTGTTTGCCTCATTGTTGATGCACCAGTCCTTGAAGGCACCATACACCTTGGGCAAAGGGACACTGGTATTGTAGAAGTGGCTGGCAATCTTGCTGCTGAGTCCATGCTTGAGAAACTCAATGAGGATATTGTCCTGACACCTCTTCTTGTACTTGCCCTTGTTGTTGGTGGTGGCGACCACATTCTATCCTGCATCTGCCGCCAACATTTCAAAGTCAGAGATATAGTATGCAAAGGACCACTTATTTTGGTGCAGGGCCATGAGTCAAGCGGCAGTGACTTGCTCCATGTTGGAGTCCCCAAAGGCCCTCTGAAGCTCCTCCAAGAAAGTTCTTGGTGGTGACTCATGCCTTCAGCCCCTGGAAGCTATCAAAGTTATGCTGTTTCCAGTTCATCGCCCATCTTGAAGCAGCGCAGTTTGTGCCTGCCTCGTTGCAAAGGTATGAGAGGACAAAGAGGATTTTGGGAGAGTCCTCCAAGAATTGTCATAATGTTGAAGAATAATCGGGGAGATAATTTTGGCGTGCATCGGATCACGTCTTGATGGCAGATCACGATCTTATCACATATTGTTTTTCACTCGATTTGCGTCCCTCAGTCTTACCGCTATCATCGGGTTCGACTGAGGGTGCGTAAAGATGTCTCTGATTTCACCACAGTAGCTAACCACGTTTCGTACTTGTAGACTTACGTGTACCCGTCGTCTACAGGTGAAAACGAGTCTTACCGCTATCATCGGGTTCGACTGAGGACTTACGTGTACCCGTCGTCTACAGATTCGCAGTCAGACGTGAACCAATATTCACAGTCCAAAAATCAGCCGCGCCAAACCGATTTTCATTTGCAGACTCAACCTACAGAACTCAAATTAGAGACGTTCGTGAATGTCAACAAATCTTCCAAGCACGCCGATTCTACCTGACGACCAAAAACTATCGACCGATGGGTCGAACTGGTCAAACTTCAAAGACGGGATGTTCAATATGGCTAGGGGGCGCGGGCTCGAAGGCTATCTCACAGGCGCCATTGGTTTACCCACCGGTTATGTGTCTACAACGACCGGGTCAACTCTACTCAACTCGAGTTTTCCATCGCCCGATGAGTGGGCGCTACGAGATGGTTGGGTGGCCACCATGTTGTACCAGAATATAAAAGATCCACGAGCGCACGATATCCGTGGATCGGACACTGCTCACGCCATTTGGACCGGTCTCATCGGAAAATTCAACCGAAGCACTGACCTTCTCATTGGGCTCCGCATGGAACGACTGCGCGATCTTCGTCTTAAAGATACGCGATACCTCCCCGGGCATATTGACGAGTTGATCAAACGTCGCGCCGATGTACACGGGATTGGTGGCCTTGTCAACGACCAACAGATGTGTACCATAATCCTTAATTCGCTTCCCAAGGAGGAATTCGGCGCGTCGCTGATCATACTACAAACCTTCAATCAGGTGCAACCCCTCATCGCACACCTGAGAGACTGGTGGGAGATGATATGGCTAAAGAAAATCGACGAGGAGGCGGTACCGGGTTCGGCTAATGCGCTTACGGTCCACACTACGCCTATCGCTACCGGCACAAACGCGTGTTCTGCATGCGGCGGCGCGCATCAACAACGAGTCTGTTGGGCGCGTGGAGGTGGCAAGGAAGGACAGGCGCCACCGTGGTGGAAAGCTCCTCGGGGAAAAGAACCCAATCCATCGCTTGTTGCCGCGCATCGTCACGCAAAGGAAGCCCGTCAGGCTATGACGCAAAATCATCCACATGCACATGCGACCATTTCGCCTCAGACAAATAACGTTCAACCCGCTCCAACGACCACCACCGCAGCGTTCAGCAACCCAATCATGACGTACGCATTGGCAACTCATATCGACAGCGACGGTACGTCACCGCGCTGGAACAGTGTGTGCAACAAGCCTGACGAACTGCTCAGAAATGGATGTGGAGGACCACCTACTTCCATTCTGAGTAGTAGTCTAGAGCACACATCCACCCCAATTGCTTGTACAACGGAAGCTGTATCATCGAATCGAAGCGGTCTTCCCACCTTCCTAGACTCAGGTGCATCGGAACATTGTTTCGTAAATCGCTCCAGCTTCGTAACGTATCAAGAGTCACCGATGACGGGAAGTACCGCAGTCAAAGACGGTGGAAGCTTCACAATTTTGGGCCGTGGAGAGGTCGAATTGAATGTGCGCATTTTGACGGGGGAAATACGGCGATTGCGATTTTCGGCTTTACACACACCCGGGTTTGGAATGAATCTAATCTCAATCACCACGTTGGATTCACGCGGTTGCCGGGGATCATGGGGAGATGGAGTCCTGAGCGTAGTCAACCCAGATGGTGTTACCGTCATGGACGGAAGATTCTCAGCGCGGTTGGCGAACGGGCGCCGCTTATACACCGTGGACGTTGTCGAAGAGGTCGATGGGCCCCTTGCCGCAATAGCTGGACGAAATCGAAAGCAACCTACGACAATCGAAAACTGGCACCGGCGACTTGGACATGCCGATATCAGAACAATACAACAAATGGCTAAGAAAGAAGCTGTGGCCGGCATGGACGTTGTCGCGGGTGACATACACGGAATGTGCAAAGATTGCATATTGGGGAAGCAAGACAAAATGCCATTCAATGACGAAGTCGTACACGAACAAGAACCATTGGAGAGAGTACATCTGGACCTCTGGGGACGTGCAAGAACGCCAAGCTGGGGGCACGCCGTCTACTTGATGCTGATCTCAGATGGTGGAACCAGCATGAAATTTCCGATTTTCCTCACGAACAAGCGAAAGGAAACCATCCTGGAGGCGTTTTCAGCTTGGCTCAAGGAAGCAGAAATTCAGACAGAGCGAAAACTCAAAATCGTTCGGGTGGACTTGGGCACTGAATTCGACAACGACATGTTCACGGGATTCTGCCGAGAACAAGGAATCATCATCGAACGAGTACCAAAGGCATCTTCTGCAGCACATGGCCATGCAGAACGAGGAAACCGAACGGTTATTGCTGGTGCCCGAACACAACTAATTGAGTCAGGCTTGGATGCGAGGTTCTGGGCAGAGGCAACTGCCAGCCATTGCTATGTTAGAAGCTTCATTCCATCTTCACGACACCCAGAGTCTGTTCCGTGGATGCGCTGGTTCAAGAAACGAGACGAGTCAGGAAAGCAAATTCGTCCAAATATATCCCACTTACGAGTATGGGGGAGTGTTTGCTGGGTGCTGGATCTGGACAACACTGAAGGGAAACTGGGAAAACAAGGATGGGAAGGGCGAATGGTCGGGTATATGGGAAGACGAGGATATCGAGTGTTCGATGTGAAGCGAGAGAAGGTCTACGAGGTCCGAAATGTCATATTTGAAGAAGGAACACCGCACCGAACGGAAGGAGCAAGGGCGTTATCCGACCATAGTAATCTCCTCATCCATGAAGACGAAGCGCAGGCGATCGAACAAGAATGGGACGATCTCCAAGAGTCAATGAACGTGAATTCCACACCTACAGACCAAACATCTCATGAAGAACAACCCTCATTGGACAAAGCCCCCACCAGCGAAACTCCTCCACTCGAGACCCCAGAACCCAGATCCGTTCCACCTCTACCACGAAGGACCAGCCGTATTCCAAAACCTAGCCGAAGACTGCTTGAAAGCCAAGTGTCGAATCGTCTTGAAGAAGAGGCAAGGGTCGGAAGAGAAGACTGGGCCAGGGATAACCAACGCCCTGCTGTTAATTTCGTCGACCTGAACGCTGACTTCTTTGAAGAAGAAACGATGATGAATCCATTAGCATTGGCAAGCGCGACAAAAGGAAACTTACCGAGGAGTGGAACAGAAGCAATGAACGACCCAGCGTGGCTTGCTCCAATGCGCACGGAAATGCAGCAATTCAGTGACAGAAAGGTCTGGAAATTGGTGTCGCTGCCGCCAGGCGAAGTGGCGATAGATGGAATGTGGGTCTTCGATGTAAAGGTGGATGGCAATGGGAGAGAAGTGAAACGCAAAGCGCGATACGTGGCACGAGGGGATCAGATGGTCGAGGGACGCGATTTCGGAGCAAAATGGGCGATGGTGGCGCGTATGGAATCCGTCCGGATGGTGTTCGCAGTCGCAGCAGTCAAGAAGCTAAAAATACGGCAGTGGGACTTCTCTGGAGCATATCTGAATGGCGAAATGGACCGACCGGTTTACATGAAGCAACCAAAGGGATTCGAGAAGAAGGGGGAAGAGCACAAAGTGTGCCTTCTTCTCCGGCCCCTCTATGGTCTAGTCCAGGCTGGGCACATTTGGTACAAGCTCCTCGCTTCGGGCTACAAGCAGCTGGGGTACTCCGAAAACGCCGCCGATCCATGCGTCAGAACGCGACAGCATGGTGAAGAATATACCGTGACTACGACCCATACAGATGATGTTCTTGGCACATCATCAAATGATTCCGAAAGCCAGAGGGTAGTGAAGGAATTCGCAGACAAATGGGACTTGAAAGAGGTCGATCTAAACCTCTTGCTCGGACTGACGGTCGAAAAACTGCCAGACGGTTCAATATCAATAAGCCAACATCAATACTTCGAAAAAGTACTGGAATACTTTGGATATTCCGAGCTAAAACCACTGTCAACACCACTCCCCCCTGGATACCAAGTCCGCGCGTCACCTTCCCCCCTGCCCGCTGAAGATGTCACATACATGCGAGGGAAGCCGTACCGTCAGATTCTCGGATCCATTATATGGGGAAGTAGCGGAACTCGCCCGGATCTAGCATACGCATGCTCAGTCCTCGGCCACGTGCAATCGAACCCCGGGCCCGAACACTGGAGTCTGCTAATCGGCGTCCTACGATACATCAAAGGAACATTGGATTTTGGAATCAAATACTCTCCACAAGGGAACGAACCAGGAAATGGTATAAAACCGCTGGGATTTGTCGACTCTGATTGGGCAGGATGCATTGATACGCGACGATCCACGGCCGGATATATCTTCTTCATGGGGGGAGCACCTGTCGCGTGGTCATCAAAGCGACAAGCGGTGGTCGCGCTGTCATCAACTGAGGCAGAATACATTTCGCTGGCTCGTGCATCACAACAGGCCATGTGGATGAAAAATTGGCTGTCGCAAATCTTCCTGCCTCAAGAGCCACCGATCCCCCTACGCGGCGATAATCTCGGATCCATCAGTCTCACGGAAACGACCAAAGGACATGGTCTCGCCAAACATATCGATATCCGGTATCATTATATCCGGGATCGCGTCAATGATGGAGACATTTCGGTTACTTCCGTTCCTGGCAAGGAAAACGTGGCTGATATCCTCACAAAAGCGCTCGGACGCGCTGACCATGAGCGCATATGTCATTCATTAGGTTTGGATTGGAAGCGCGCTGCACGCCAGGGGGAGTGTTGAAGAATAATCGGGGAGATAATTTTGGCGTGCATCGGATCACGTCTTGATGGCAGATCACGATCTTATCACATATTGTTTTTCACTCGATTTGCGTCCCTCAGTCTTACCGCTATCATCGGGTTCGACTGAGGGTGCGTAAAGATGTCTCTGATTTCACCACAGTAGCTAACCACGTTTCGTACTTGTAGACTTACGTGTACCCGTCGTCTACAGGTGAAAACGAGTCTTACCGCTATCATCGGGTTCGACTGAGGACTTACGTGTACCCGTCGTCTACACATAATTCGACCCTTTTTCATCTTATCATCAACAATCTTATCTTATCTCAGCACGAGTTATCTTATTGCAGATCGCAGCATCTGACGGTCCAGGCTAGGGGTCTGGGGGATTATCTTTATCAATTTGAGGCCGTGCAACATATGCTCCAGAAGGTTCTACTACAACCCATGACCAGTACACCATGCGGTACATAATCTTATGACTCATTAGTTGTAGATATGACTCAGACTGGATTTGGTATAAAGCCTGTAGCTACTTGGTTGTATTCTCCAGTCTTTGAATTCACTTCTCTTTCCAACATTATTTCTTGTTGATTGTCACAAAGCGTTGGCCATGGGTGGTAGTAGAACCTTCTGGAGCACACACCGTGTAGCCTTTGCACAGATAATACCTCTGAACCCTTGTCCCGGACCGTGTGATGCCATGATCTGTGATAAGATAACCCATGTCAAGATAAGATAAGATTGTTGATGGAAAAGATGAAAAAGTGGCCAAACTATGACACTACTACTCTGCCCAGGTCATACAAGTAGAAATGTGATCTAATCTACTTAGTACATTTTATCTTATTGACATTGGTCACCATCCAATAGTAGAATAGACATTTTCAAGTTCATAAATCTAGCTCTTATTTACATTCTATGTCAGTATCATTGAAGAGATTGAAAAGTAATAGCTGACTTTTACTTCCCAAATAGGTCAAAAAAAAATAGTATATTCTCTAGTGTTGCGCACGTCACAAGGACCCGGGGACTCGGCAGCCAAGGGCCCACCCATGAGGAAGCCCAAGGACGCCCGCTGAACGCCCACAAAAATGTGGCTGGGGCCCCCCACTTCTCTGAGGGGCGCCCAGCTGCCGCCCAGCCCACATTCGCCCAATACCATCGAGGTACCTTTTTGGGTCTCAAAGAGGTACCGCAAGAGATACGAATATGGGGTGTCCATGATGGTTCTGCATGAGCACGATCTCAAACCGAGCTTCTCCCCGGACGACAGTAAGCATCAAGCATCCCGTGTGAAGGTTTTCGTAAACAGACATTGCCAATGGGGGCGCCGACTGACGCAGGTTGTTGAGAATTTCCCGAAATGAAAATGCAGCGAGCTCTCAACGATTCCAGTGGCAACAGCCACCTTCTACTACTGCGGGATGTCTTCGGAACCTGGTCTGTCCCGTCGAAAACTACCTCGTGGCCGTATGGAATGGTGGTACGTATAAAGGTGAGCAGGCGGAAGCGTACTAATATACTCAACCACTCCAAACTTCTGACTGGTCTCCCCATGTCTCGACTTGCTTTTTTCTTGACTTTAACTGTCTCTTTCGCATCAGTCTTCGCAGCAGAAATTGCCGAGCGGGGCACGGCCGATCCCTCCTCCGTCCATGTGTGAGTGGATCCATCTACTCATTGACAAGGCGGGTCTAAACTGTGAACTGTGTGTGAGCAGGCTTGGATATGTGCCTTCAGTAAGCCTCCCCCGATTCGAATCTGCTCTTCGAGAAATGAACCATACCATCTCTAGCGACACTTTGCCACCATGGGAATCATCGCATTCGCGCAATCGGTAGTCGTGTCTCTGATCCACTTCATCTGGGTCCGACCAATCAAGCTCTCTCTGCTTACTTACGTTGTCGGAATGATCGGTATGCTATGAGCCCACGATCGAGTCCAGCCGCCTTTGCTGACGACGGTCAAGCGCTCACGACTGGTTTCCTCCTCCGGGCCATGGACGGGGCCCCGCCTTTCTATCTGTGGAAGTACATCGCCTGGGATCTGGTGTGTCATCTCCACTCTCGCCAGGCAGAACGGATCCAATCTTTGCTAACATCGTTTGCAGTTGATTCTTCTTTCGGTGCTGATTTTCTCGCACGCACTGCGAAACCAGCACTGACAGCCTGCAGCCCAGCTTCTTTATCGCCACATGCTACTTTCTTCTCGCTCATCTGGGCAATACGTTCGAGCCCGATGTCGTCTCGCGGTGTCTTTTCGTCAGCCCCTCAGGCATTATGACGTTCTTTGTCGGGAGCAATCTCGTCAGTTTCCTGCTGGAGGGTGGCGGCGGAGCTTTGACTGTCTCGCAACATGATTCTCTCGCCGCAGCGGGCTCCAAGGTATTTGAGTCCTCCAGCCACAAGAGGATTTCAGTTGTAACTCAATCTCGTAGATTGTCTTGACCGGATTCATTCTCCAGGCGGCCACACTGCTGCTCTTCATCTACCTTCTGACTTCTTTCACTATCCGAATGTAAGGCCGGTTTGCATGTCCCTGACTCACTCTCTGATTCACGACGCCAGGTCCAACGACTACCCTCATCTGTGGAAACCCACCAAGGGGGCGCCTTGGAAGATAATGTCTGCGGGGCCGATCGACACCTGGCGCCTGCTGGTCTACATGATCTTCATTGTCTGCGGCGGACTTCTGGTGCGCACGGTCTACCGCGTGGTTGAATTCGCTGGAGGGTACGTCTTGTCCAGCCAGCAGGAAGATTTCCGTGAAAGTGACCTGCTCACTGCAGATACAACGGCACCGTTGCCAATAAAGAGTTGTACTTCTACCTGTTCGAAGCGCTGCCGCTCGCCATGACCACGTCGATGTTCATCTCGCTCTGGCCGACACGCTTCCTCCATCGTCAGAGACACCGTTATTCGCTCCCCAGTAGAGCGAGCGAGGAAGCGCTGAAACTTCAGCCAGTCACCGCAGTTTGAATGACGTGCCCTGTCTTACCTCGGATCTCCAAACGCCTCGCTTTCTTTCCTCTTCTTATAATCTTGTACTTCACATTTGTTCTCTATACGAACAGAAATGGACCTGGTTCAGAGTATCAGCAATAATGTCATAGTCAGAACAGGCCAGAATGGTTCACTCGTTCTGCTGATCTCTCGAAATTCATCCTCTCAACCTGGGCAACTTGAATTTTCCGGGAAACTGCGAGGTCGACGAAGACGACGACTAAATACTCTGCCCATGCGGTCTGGCAGCTTGCTGTTCACCGACCTTCCATTTGATACTCTCCTTCGAACCATCCACGACGATCCGTAGCGCGGCGCAGATTTGTTTCTGGCAGGCTCGATACGATCTGACATACCAAGGGGGACTCCGCCAGTTGGGCAGCGAGTCCCATGGCTGACCTGGACCGCACTCACACGTTCCGTAGCGAGATCTTGGTATCCCGTGGGTAGCAGATAGTAAGCAGCGTAGAATTGGAACAGAATCAACATCCGCACAGGACGTGCCGTTCAAGAAAGAATAAGATCGCGACAAATTGAGAAATGCACCCTTTCAATTCCCTCGGATTTGTATAGCCACTGGCCACGTCTCAGTACGGCTGGCGCTGAGTAAAGGTGATCTCCGCGTCAATGGGGTTGTAAGTGGTCACCACGTTGTGCAAGAACACATCGCCGCTAGGAGAGCACCGCATGAGAAAAGCAGCGAGGAACTGATGCGGGGCACGCACAGCACGAACGTGTTTCCAGCAACATCAGGCCCGCCGTCCTGCGTCCCGGAGATGCATATTTCCTTGCCGTCACTGCCCTTCTGGAGCGGAACCACCTGGTCCCGGGGATCGATCTCGAACCGCTTTCCGTTGATAACGACGTTCAGTACCGCAGCAGTGGCGTTGCACGGAACCACAAAGGACTGCAGCTCCTGATCGAATGCACCAGGGGGAACAAACAGCGCATTGTAGGCGGCTGCCACGGGAGTCGCGACGTAGTTCACGGTTGTGCCAGAGTCGACGAACGTGTTGTTGCTGCTGGTGGGGATAGATGTGCTGCCTGGGAAATCGTAGCCAGTGACGTTGAGGGAGTACCACGCGTATTCGCCGGCACTCGAGTTGGCCGTTGGCACGAGCGACCCCGCCGCGTTGAACAGCCATTGGGTGACTGGCACGGTCGTCTCAACACCGGTCACAGGGACAGGGACGATCCCCCCGAATGGAAGCAGCCCAAGATTGGCATCAACAGGATCGTTGGTGGCCTGGGCAAGAGTCGGCCGGTTCAGCGAGTTCGAAAAGTCTGCGCGCTGTCAGCTCCTGTCCCGAGTCATTCGCGATGGACACCCACAAGGCTTCTTGACGATCCCCCGCTGGAACGCAGTCTGGAAGAACGGACTGTACCGCATCTGGACCAGCCCATCGCTTGTGTTGTTGTACACACTGGTCAAGGACGGGAACGCCAGCCCCAGCACGCCCTCCGAGACACCATCGCCCAGGAACGCATTGTGATTGGGCACGCCGATCTCCTGCTAGTGCACACGCACGCTGCCGACCGAGACCGTGTCGAATCCTGCAGGTCCGCGCAGCGATTCCCCGGAGCCGTAGCGCACGAAGAACGTCGCGTTCGGGAACACCGTGAACGTGGGGGATGCGCTAGGGTCGAAGGTCGCCGGACCGAAGTCGCACGCACTCGCGGGGATCGGTGCGCCCGTGAGATTGAAGCAGCTGAAGTTGGTGTGGGCGACCCACGTGTCTGAGCTGTGCGATGGATGGAGAGATCAGCCGCTGTAGACTGCAGACGGGACATGCCAGACCTTCCGGTGTCGAGGATGACCTGGAACGGCTTTCCGCCGACGGTGATGTTCACGAGGTATTCCTTGTCGAATGCGGCGCCGTCAAGTCGGAGCGTGGATTGAGGCGTCTGCTTGCGCCCTGCCGGAGACGCAAAGCGCTTGGAAATCCGGCGAGGGACATGCCCAGTCACAGGCACGACCACGTCCGCGGCGGGAAGGCCCGAGATGGAGGCGAGGACGCCAGACACCAGGGTGAGGCACACGAAGGCGAATAGCGATTGCATGTTCGATGGGATTTCAGCATTGGCGCTGCCTTCTTATATCTCCTTTGCCGTCATTGACCTCGGTTATGCATACAGCTGGGCGGAGTAGACATCCCGCCTCGTCGTCAACAGGATAGCCTTTCGACTGTGAGAACACGCGAGCGTCCTGGTTGGGATCTCGGTACGCGGTGCGGAAGCTGTAGAATCCATGCAGATGATGGAGTGGAATCAAAGGCGGGACCAAGTGACACGGTCACCCCTGGTCACTCTCGCCACGAAAGCTGTCGAGGGGCTGTCAAGCTGTTGCGAGCTAACCTTTGCCCTCCTGCAAGCTGTAGTCTCGTCCTCTGACTGTTCCACTCTCCACGGATTTATACGGGCTACGCTTTATCTCGCGTGAATCCTGCTTTTGGCCGAAGCCCGGGTCCAGCACACGTTGCCTTCCCTCTATTCTTCCGACTGCGCTTGTCGCGCGGGGAATACAACAGTGAATCTACCGGCGGAACCAGAACCCATGTGTCGTGCCCCCCTGGGCTAGGGCTTTTTGATCAATCGTACGTTGGTTGTGACTCACTTTTCGTCGAGGGTCTTTGGCCTTTGGCCCTTCGATCACCAAGCTGGCACGTATGATGCCTTGTGAAATGCTCGCTCTGACATCTAACACGGCCCGCTGCTCGAGGATGAAGCGTACATGACCGCCATGTCTCCTAGACCTGTTGGCCCTCGACGATCAAGATCTCGTTCTGTCTGCTCTGCACTGCTTGCTTCTTGTCGGCCAATCCTTGGGAGCGATATTTCACCCTACCGGCTGATCGATCTGGAAACGAATGCGTTCACGCCATACAGAACCATCGACGATCTGCTTTCTGAGCTCTGGCCGGCGATTGTTTCTCGCTCTCGGACCATTGATCGCTTCCATCGATAGATTTGGGCGAGCGTCAGCTGATAACACAGTGTCGTCAATTGGGCAGATCATCGGCATTGGCTAGCCCACTCACAGCGCCGTGTCCACTCTTCTGTAAAGCGCTCGGTCCGCAGTGTGGCTTGAGAGCCAAAGCGCGTTTGGTCGGCTTTGGCCACCCTGCAATTGTTTAAAAGGCGCTGGCGGTTTCCCCACTCTGTCCCACCACCCACTGCTCCATCTTTCTATACCCTCACGTCCTCGTCTCTTTCTCACACATATCACATCTTCTCCCCTCATACCAACCATCCCTCCACATGAAGAAAGCGCACTCCGTCCGGACCAGGGTCCAGCGCTTCGACCCGATGCGTGCAACTCACTACAAGTAAGTTGCTGGTGGTATCGCCTTGATACTGGGGATGGCATTGACCCTGAATCGCAGGGACTATCCGTTTGAGCTCAACAGAGGCCGGAACATCTACAACTAGTATGTTCTATACATTCATCGAAATCATTCTGCTCGCTCACGATATGGTGCAGTCGCTCTGTTCCAGTGGCACCGCCTACCAAGCCTCCTCCCGTCAAGACAGCCAAGTTTGTGTTCCTACCACACTATTCCGCTCGCTGCTGACCCGCTTCCAAGTGTGGATCCCAAGGCGGTTGACCACAAGGTGCAGAAGGAACGCGTTGATCAGCAGATTCTACCCCTGCCTTCTGTTGCGACCCCTCAGGAGCCCCTTATTGACGACACCGAGTTCAAATCCTCCGATTACGTGCCCGAGATTGATCTCGAGGAGCTCTTCCGCTTCCAGTTCCATTGAGGAGCTCATATGTCCACTACACACTTTATTCATATCCACATGCATGTATCAGATACCATTATATCCATGTTTTCATAGCCCAAGGACCTGTCTGACGCTCCTCCATCCGTGGCCTGGCCACAGATCGTTCCCGCTCCCAGCTGCTTCGCTCCCGGTGCCCTCACGTTTGTTGATTGGATCCCAGCCCGTACTCCCTGCGCCCGAGTCGAGGAGTCTGAGCAGCAACGTCTTCGTCTCCGCTCCTGGACCCGTGATTTTGCCGACATGCTCGACCGGCGCATGGAACAGCTCGCCGAGCTTGTTCAGCGGCATGCGGTCGCCCTGCAGGCGGATCACTTGGTTCTCCAGTGCTGAAGCGGGTGCGTGCGTTGCTGCATATGCGATGAAACCTGCGATGTCTTCGACGGACGTCGTCGAGATGGGCGTCGTGCCCTTCCCGACGAGTGTCACTTTACCTGTGTCTGCGTAGCCTGTGATCCAGGGTATAGACTCGATAAAGAGGCCATTCTAAGAGGGCTGAGAGACTGTAGTCTTGGACAGATAGAGACACGCAACGTGGATGATCGTGTATGGGAGGCTCAAGCTCTCAAGTTGTTCTGGCCAAGTTTGCTATTCAATGATCGTCGAAGTGGGAGAAGCAACTGCCACGAACCGATGATCTTCAGTTTTTCCAGAAACATTCCACCAGCTTCGACAGGCGCGGGTATGCCGTACTCACTCGGGACGAAGAGCTTCACCGCAGCGAGCTTCGCAGCTTCCACCAACGGTTTCTGGGAACCCGCGACGTCGGCGGCGACGGTGGACAGTACCACGTCGACCCGATGTTCGTCCAATACGTCTACTATCGCGGACACGTCTGTATAATCGGCTTTGACAAGGCAGACCCCCGCAGGCACGGGCTTGTCCGGAGACTCTAGGCGGGAGAGAAGGATGATTTTGATGCGGCCGTCGACTTGGGCTTTCAAGTCGGAGAGGTCGGAAATGACGCGGGAGCCGAGTTTGCCACCTCCTACGACTGCAAATGAGATGTACTCGTTTCTGGTCATGGGAAGAGGATGAGAGGGAGAACGTGCGAAGCGCGTCATAAGACTTGAGCTGCCATCGATAAACTGATGATTAGATCCTACGACTGATCTCGTGACCGCTCCCTACCCTGCTTAAACGTTTACACATTCATCTCATCGACTCTGGGTCTGGCTCAGTTTGAAACTCTAGCATCGACTCCGTGTTACCCCCGAAATTATTTGCGATGAGCCATATCACCTTCTCGTCTCATAAAAGCTCCCTTGCTCGCGTGTTTGCTGGTCAGCCATGTCTGCGCGATCTTTGCCCATTGTTGCACTTGCACTGGTCAGCCTCTTAACAAACTACCGTGTATGCGACTTACTGGTGCCTTGCTCGATAGACGAACCATATCTACTTTCACAGACACGAGCCTCGTCATGCCACACGCCCCATTGTTGCCCTCATTCTCCTCCAGCCTTTCGTACTCTGTTTGCTGGTCGGACATCGGACATACCTTTCCATCCTCTACTGCTTTACTCTGTTTTTCGTGGCTCTTGGCTCCTCGATTGTGCTATACCGTTTGTCGCCATGGCATCCACTCGCCGCTTTCCCTGGACCGACGTTCGGAAAGTCCACCAAGCTGTGGGGGGCATGGGTCGCATGGAGAGGGAAGCAACATCTCTATTTGAGGGCCATGCATGACCGGTACGGTCTCTACGTAAGGACGGGTGCGTGTTCTCGTGCAACAGCTTGCGCACGGTCTTTATCGTAGACAGGCCCCAACGAGCTATCCATCGCCGATGCCTCCGTTACGGATCGTGTTATCGGGTTCAAGGGGCTCCCCAAAGGCCGCTGTGCGTGTCTCGCATCCGTCTGTCCGTTCACCACTCAGCCCCCGCAGTTTACGAAACCGGCCGCAATGCCCCGCACCTTTTCAATCTCACGGGCGAAGCGCACACCGCGAAACGCCAGATGTGGAACCGTGCCATGATGAGCGTCGAAGCATTCCAGAACTTCGAGTCATTTATCGGGAGAAGAGCGACCAATCTGGTCGGCGTGCTGGGGAGGTTGTATGAACGCGAGGGGGGAGAAGTGGACCTCGTGAAGTGGTTCGAGCTCTTTGCGTAAGTGGAATCTTTCTGCTGACGACACATGCTAATGGGCAAACAGACTGGACACGATTACCGATATTGCGTTAGTCGTCCTATCTGCCCGTAGGACATCGCTCATAGCATGAAGTTTCGGTGAAGGTTTCGACGTGTTGCGGCAGGGCATGGATCCTGAAGGTGTGCTGGCTCGTATCCGGGCCTCCAAGTTGTGAGTGCTGCTTATCAACTTGGATGTGCGTCTTAAAAAGGAGTGAACAGTCGACGAAACTGGCTAGGTCACATTCCCTGGGCTATGCGACTGTTGTCGTCTGATATCGAGCCGTTTACCGAATCTTTGCTGACTCAAAGAACGGCAAAGGAGACAATCTGGGCCAAGGACTTTCTGCATTATCTAGTCAGTTTCATAGTGGCTCTTTTGATCGCCATATTCTAACTCATCTAGACCGAGATCGAAGCTGTCGATGGGGAATCCGTGATTATGGCGGGTGCTGATACTATCGCTGCCACACTGAGTAGCTTTTTCTGGTTCCTGTTGTGCAATCCGGATTGCTACAGCCGACTCCAGAAAGAGATTTTGGATGTATACAAGACGGAAGTTGTTTATAACACCAGCAGGCATCCCCAGCTGCATTACTTGGCAGCGTGCTTGTGCGTGGATTCTCTTCTCTGTCCCGTCGCGTTCTGATTGCGGGTTAGAAATGAAACTCTGCGACTTCATCCACCGGTCTTGACGAATGGGACGAGAACGGGCGGCAAAGTCGTCGGGGGAAGGTTCATCCCGCCTGACACCAACATCTGCATACCCCCGTACGCTATGCACCGACGGCCCGAGTGCTTTTTTCCTCAGACGGAGGAGTTCAATCCCGACCGGTGGTTGCCGGCAGAAGCCCACAGATTCACGCACAATCTCGCTGGGTTCATCCCGTTCTCGATCGGGCCCGCTGGGTGTGCCGGTCAACGATTGGCGCGAATGGAGTTGACGATGACCGTGTGCTTACTGATGAAAGTGTTCCGGTTTGAGAAGATGCCTGGTGTGAATTACGAATCGTGGCCGGCAGGGATCCGAGATGAGTTGTTGGCTACGCGGGATCCGTTGTGGGTGAAGATAACACTTCTTCGTCGTTGATGTGTTCGATTGCCGTCTCGTGTCTCCTGCGTACCTCATCCCACTCCAAGCCCACCCATGTTTCCAATTCTAGATCCTGTAGGCCCAATTGTATCCATGCTTGCAACCGGCTCTCTGTAACGGCTTGGAAACCACCAGAGTCTGAGTCTAAAGCCAAGGCTCTTAGCATTATTTCTGCCACAATCGCGTGTCGAAGAATCTTGAGCCCATTCCGCCTATCTTTGCGCCAGAACTTGGCAGCCTTTTCCATGTCTTTGACCCTCCTCCCTTCTACCCATTCACGCATCTTAATCATATCCGGTGTGTACGTGGGCCGCTGCTCAGGCTCGACCAATACAGACTCCTCGACCAGGCAGCACACCGACTCGACGAGACTTCCCTCGCGCACCCGTGCTGCGAATGCCGACTCGGAGAGAATGGTGACGTCGTATCGCCCTCTGTGGTAGCTCGTTTGCGGTGCAGGACCGTCCGTGTCCGCGACGACGATGAGAAGATCGAAGTCGCTGGTGGGAGTCTGGGTGCCCCAGAGACGCGATCCGATCAGGAAAGCGCCGTGGAGAGGATGTGTGACGTGGAAGGATTTGAGCAGAGAGTGGATGGTATGCGACGTAGGTGAGACCATGGCTGCATGTGTGACGCGCTGATGCCAAGATGTCCATGTCAAGACCAATAAGTAACCCATCATTACCCTCCATTTGACGCGTGACGTCATATCATGGTCACCTCTAAATTTGACTCCACGGTGTTAAGCAATCGACAGAATGCCGATCATCCTTCCAAGACACACTTTCATTCTACCACAAACATGGCGCCGCCCTCGCTGCGCTTCCTCAATCCCATGACCGCCGTGAAGGCGATATGGCGGATATGCTACATCTTCGTGCAGTACTTCGTCATTGCCCTATACAAGCCCCCTGCGCCCAAGACGGATGGCCCACTGAAGAGCCCTTCTGGACGCATTGCTGTTATCGGCGCCGGACTCACTGGCGTCTCATCCGCTGCGTGCGTTTATCCTTTCCACTCACCTCACCCTGCTGACGATTTTCCAGCCATTGTATTGCCCACAACTTTGAAGTCACCCTCTTCGAAGCCGGCCCGCGCTCGAGCTTGGGCGGCATCTGGTCGCACGTCAATTCGACAAGCGGGCTGCAGCTTAACTCGCATCTGTATCGTTTCCACCCTGCTGTGCTTTGGAAAAACGCCTTCCCTTCGAGGGACGAGATTCTCGGCGGTGCGTCATGCCTTTTACACGAGTGGTATGGTATGACTGAATTGGTCTTAGAGGTGAGAAGGATTTGGCACGAGTACAAGTTGGAGAGCCGCACTCGTTTTGAGGTATGTCTGGCTCTTCTTTCTCCATCGCTCCGACTAATCGTGGTTCCAGACGCGTGTCACATCTGTCCGACGTGCTGATGCAAAGTCATCATTGGGACATCGTCAATGGATTATCAACGACGACAGTGAAACACTGTATGACGCAGTCATCGCTACAGTTGGAACGTGCGGCAAGCCAAAATGGATCCACATCGATGGGATGCCCAAATCGGACAAGGGTGCGTTAGTTGCTCACCTCAGGTTGTCGTCGGCTTCGTTCCATGTTTCTCATGACGCCATAGGATCTGGCTCCGACTCAGGCCATGGGAATGATGCGCAAGAGAATGGCGTATTCACCAAACCTATCATTCATTCTTCGGAACTCGATTCCGAATCTATTTCAGAGGAAACGATCAAAGGTATCCTATCCTCGCATTTCTCTCAAATGCGTGCTCATATCTACTTGCTGTTCAGGTAAACGAGTCGTCGTAATCGGCAGCGGAGCTAGTGGAGTCGAGGCTGTCGAGACCGCACTTCAGAGGGGCGCGGGAGAGACAGTCATACTGGCCCGCACGGATAAGGTCAGTATCTTATCTTGGGCGACAATCGCTCTGACTATTTAATAGTGGATCATCCCTCGCAACATTTTCTTCGATACGTTTGTCGCGTGCCAACCTTTTGGCCGGGAGATGCCATTGAGGTATGTGATCCATTTTGACTGGAGAGCCGTTGTTGAGATGAGACCAGCTTTTTGTGGGAACGATTCCTGAAATTCACACATTACCGTGGAGTGACGGAGCTGATTCCTTGGAAGACGGGTCTGTTCGAAGGCACGCCCGTGAGCATTCAATCAGCCATCTGTGTGCTTGTCTGATTACATGCAGATCGTCAACGACGCTTTCATGAAGCACGTGCGAGACGGGTCATGCAAATATGTCCGCGGGGATACGATCAAGCTGACACCTTCGGGAGTGCATGCCACGGTACGAGGGAGGGAATCGAAACCTGGTGATGATGGCAAAGAAGAGGTTAACAATCTTTTTTCAATCTTGTTCTGTGTACTGAATGAATTGGCAGATAATCGACGCGGATGTGATCGTTCTTGCGACTGGATTCGAGAAACCTAGCATCGACTTTTTGGACAACTCTTTATTTCCTGACGGTTACGAGGTGTGTTTGTTCCTGCAGTTTCAGCATTGCACACATAACTGGGGTTTTTAGCGCCCCAATCTCTATCTGCAAAACTTTTCGACGGAGGATTGGTCTGTGCTGATGACCAACTCGTCTTACATGAGCGCTATTGGAACTGTGTATGTTTCTTCCCTCTTGACACACACACCAACTGATGGTTTCCATTCGACAGTGGACACTTGTAAGTACCATGCAATTGGTTCCCGCGTTTGGTCAGCGTTAACATCGGGTTTGTGTGCGCAGCCACATAGGAATCTGTACGACCAATCAACTCGTCTCGCATGTCTAAACTCAACTGTATTCAGATACTCGCATTCTGCTCACCTTCCTTATGGACGAGGGATCCCGCCCTGAGATCCAGGACATGAAGTTGTGGGTCGACGTAGTCCGATTCCTGAAACGAGGAGCCAAAGGCGGGGCGCTCGGGTTCTTCACTTACGCAGAGCTGAGTGGGTTTTTCTTTCTTTCAATTGAGACGAATTTGACCCTGACGCAACTCACAAAGCGATCTGGCTGCTCTTATTTCATCTTCTCCGGTTGGACCGGTTGCGCTGGTATGTCGATCTCATTGGAAGCGTTGATCTTGCCTCACTGAGAGCTACAGGTTGTTTTTCATCATGTGTGGATGGGGAGTGTATCTGAAAGGTGGACAACGGGAGAGTGCAGTCGAGAAAGTGGTTGAAACGGCACATGTCTCGGAAATTAGAAAGGAGACTGTTGGGGAAAATGGGTCGAGGGGTTGATTAGATAATTGTAGTGTAGGTTTGCAATAGCAATGAGGAATAAACTTGGATTGCTTTAGGGCAAACCAATGCCCTTCTACATAATTACAGGTTGCTTATATACTGTATGTTAGGCTATCTAGAGTGTTCTGTAACTGTCCATGGGTTTCCAGTCTGTTAGTAATCAATATGTGAGTTGCCCGAAGGCCGAAGCTGCTCGATCTAATCTAATCTTCAACACTCCCCCTGCAGCGAGGGCTTCATAAAATTCCTAGATGTTCCATATGCGCGTGATTGTCCAATGCTTGGCAACGTCCAACGAGGTGCGTCCAAATTAGCTCTAGCTCCGTTCCGTCCTACTGCCGCGGCATCCTAAATCATTGCACTGATGCATGCTGCCCGATTCTTACATAACGCGTGATTGTTCAGTCGCTCAGAGCGCGTAGTCATTGTCGGAGTCATTTTCCTCCTCTTCGTACACACCGAACGCAGCATGTGCTTTGTCGGGTTCATTTACATCTTCGATCTCGGAAGATGGGCAGACACGAGCAATGTGTCCTTTGCCTCCACACCTGTGGCAAATGGCTCGTTTCCACGTTGATGATGACGTGGCGAAGTTTGATGCGGGCTGTCGTGATTGACGGGTGACAGATCGACGGTTGTGGGTCGCAGCCATGGCAATGGCAAGTTCCTCGGGGGTAAGTCCATCCTTCTCGTAGCGGCGGCGTTCCTCGGTCAAGATGTCGGCAATGACAGTTTTTGACTGCGGACTAATTGTTCCATGTAAATTGGCGCGAATGAACGAGTCCCATTCAGTCGGGAGCGAACTGAGAAGGGTGACTGCAAAGTCTGAGTCAGACACTTCTTGTCCAAGCGAGCGAAGCTCCCCCTGGAGTTGGCGCATCATTTTGATGTGTGGTTCAAGCGGCTGTTGGTCGAGTGCACGGGTAGAGTAAAATTTGTGGCGCGCAAGAATCAGGCCCATTTGGCCTTTGAGCTCAAATAATGCAGACAGCATCTGCCATGCACCGAGTGCGGTGGTCTCCCCCTGGATATGTTGGACAATATTAGGTGCGACACGAAGTCTGATCGATGACAGCGTGCGACGATCATTTTTGATCCAGGCCTTCTTCTTCGATGCTTCGGAATCGTCTGGGGGCGTAACGGAATCATCGACATGATCATCAAGATTCTGTTCTGTCAGAATGTCCATCATCTGGACTTTCCATGCTCCATAGTTTGATGAACCGGCAAGCGGTTCGATCCGAAATGCGTTGGCCGTGATGGTGTCTGCCATGTGGAGATAGTCGGGTTATCGGTGACGTGAACCGAGATCAGTTTGTGTTGGGGAAAATGGGTCGAGGGGTTGATTAGATAATTGTAGTGTAGGTTTGCAATAGCAATGAGGAATAAACTTGGATTGCTTTAGGGCAAACCAATGCCCTTCTACATAATTACAGGTTGCTTATATACTGTATGTTAGGCTATCTAGAGTGTTCTGTAACTGTCCATGGGTTTCCAGTCTGTTAGTAATCAATATGTGAGTTGCCCGAAGGCCGAAGCTGCTCGATCTAATCTAATCTTCAACAGAGACCGACCATTAGATCGTATTATCGCCACGCCAATCATACGTTGAATAGATGCTGGGTGTTTTTTTAGCTGCTGCATGCGACGTTTGTGCGACAGGAGCGCACCCAAGAACCGGGTCACACGAGGATAGATCACGATCACGTGAGAAATCGAACCGTGAGAACGCATCTCCTCTCTTTGACAATTTCATCACCAACAATCTTCCTATATACGCCGCAGAAGAAACCCACAGAATTTCGATGATATATTTCGACAAATTTCAAAATGATTTCATCAGTCCAATGCAACTGAGCGGCCATTGAATTGAATAAACTACGACCTCTTGGTCAACTGCAGTTGTAGCGGTATTTCTGCAGCCGTAATAAAAATATCATGGAGATGATCGCTCCACTCCCCAGCCGCCGCAAAATCCTTGCCGAAGCTGATATCGAACGTCTGGATGAGCGCCGCGCTGACCATGATGAGCTCCCGGCGCGCGAGATTCTGCCCGACGCAGTTCGCGGAGCCGAACGAGAACGGGATGAACGCGAGGGTGTCGTGCCGCTCCATGGCGCCGGGGTTGAGCCAGCGCTCGGGCCGGAACGAGTCGGGGTCGCTGAAGTACTCGGCGGAGCGGTGGAGGGTGTAGTGCGGGACGAAGATCTGCGTGTTCTGCGCGATGTAGCTAGGCGGATGGGGGTTAGATGACAACCTTCGGGTGGGTGGGGGCGAGAAGGAGGTGGAGGAATACGTACTGCCCGCCGATGACCTTCCCGCCGCCCACGGGCACTTTCCGGGCGCCTCCTGTCGGGACGGGCGGGAGATACCGGAATGTCTCGTTTCTGCGGATTTGTGTGTGAGTGTGATTGGGATGGGATCAGTCATTCGAGTCGACGACTGACATGCATGCTGTGAGATACGGCAGCTGGGTGTATCTGGAGCTGTCGAGGGCCGAGTCGCCGGGCGGGTACACGCTGTCGACCTCCTCTTGGACGCGCTTATAGACCGCTGGGTGAGACAGCAGGAGCCAGATGAAGCTAGGGTCTTGTGTAGGTGAGCGTGAACAGGACGCTTGTACGATGCGTACTTGTTCATCGTTGTGGAAGTCGTGTCAGAGCCTGCGACGATGCTCAACACACCGTCCGCGACAACTTCGGGGATGGTCGGGCGCGTCTTCTCCACCTCTGCTTCGTCCGTCTAGTTGATCGAGGTGAGTGACTCTCGTCGGCACCTGAGGATATATCGCCAAGTGACCCACCAGATGGTACCACAGATCCTTCACAGCCGAGCCGGCTTTGATGCGCTTAGCAGCCGAGGTGACTCCGAATTTACGGAGAGTCGTGATATTCTGGACGAGAGCGGGAAACAAGCGCAAGGTGGGCAAGATCCAGGGAATCGGAGAGAGATAGGCAGCGAGACTGGGATCAAGGTAAAGGAGGTGAAACGATCGCGCGAATGCCGTCAGATCACATACCGAGAACCGTCTTCGATAATTTTCCAGAGCCCTTCCCTGTCTCCGCCATCTCGGAGCATTTCGAATCCTCCGCCGAACCTGAAGCGGTGCTGAGTGATTTATGGCCGGCCGGGTCTCAAAAAGACGCACGCCATGTCCCCCATGAAATCGAATCTGCAATGCACGAGTCAGTTTGTGGATAAAAATCCGCAATGCCGCCCGCACGTGAAATAGCCCATCCACTTGGAGAAGTTGACGGATTGCCCGGACCGCGACTCCTCTTCCAGCCGCTCCAGCAGCTGCGAGACACGCTTCCCCATGGTGACCTCGTAGCTTGCAATCGCGGCCGAATTCAGCCCGCGGTTCCAAATCCGTCTGCGGTTCGCATGGGCCTCGCCCCTCAGCAGGATGAGCGACTTTGTGGGAAGGTTCGGATCCCCGCGTGTGTCGTAATCTGCAACGCATGAGATCTGGGCGGGGCGTAATTACGGCGGCCGCTGAGCAAGCAAGCAAGCAGACAAGCGCGCGCAAGACAGACGTGCTTACGTTGGCCCTTGGGGAACGTCCCGAGGACGACTTTCACCGCGTCCGTGTGCGCAAACGACACCTCGTTCGGACCTGCCCGTCAGTCGCATTCAGATGCAGCACGCGCAGGAAAGACGGCCGGGACGCACCCGTACGCACGACCGGCCCGTACTTGAGGTGCATGCCGCGCGTCACCCGGTGCATGTCGCCCCGCAGAACATCGCGCAGGCCCCAGAGCTTGGTGACCTTGTAGAGGAGCGGCCCGGGGATCGCGGCGAGCGGGTGCCAGGGCGAGAGCCGGTAGAGGACGATGGAGAGCGTGAGGGCCCCTATGAAGGTCGCATACGCGGTCAGCACTGCGGATGCCGAGAGGGTGTGGAAGGAGAGGATGATCGCGGGCTGGATCAGGATCGCCAAAAGAGGGTAGTGGGCAGTTTTTGGCTCGAAGTGCCGGAAAAAAATGTGGTTGGCCTGTCCATTCCATGAAAAATGAGACGCGGTGAAAGTGAAATGAAAAAGCAGACTGACCACACCGAGCAAGGCGGCCACGCGCCAGAGTGTCATTGGAGTGTGATTTCGCAGGATGCGTGTGATCCAGGGGCGAGTGTGGCCCGCACTTATATATGTGCGTCCTGCGTGTCAGATCGAAGCATGTCACAAAACATTCAAGTCTGTGCACTGATGCTCCCAGTCAGCAAATGCGATTCGGCGAGAAGCAGTCCATGCAGGCCTGCCAAACATAGACGCCTCGAACGACAGCTGATTACCGAGTGTTTCGTGACCAACCATCCTCGGCCGCTTCACCTTTAGCACACGGCTCGGATGGCACATGGTCTATGAGATGCAGTAGCCTAGTATATGAAGAGCGTAAGTACAACCCAGAACTCGAGGTCACGCTACGACTCTCACCGGAGTTAGCACTCTCGGAAAATTTGAGAGAGATAATCGGAATCGCTCACCCGATACTTCTGATCGGGTATTTCTGTGTCACGAATGACCTACACACATTCTTCTTGGATTGTGGTTTGAGTCTTACGCGGATCATGATGGGTACTGTCAAAATCACTGTCATCAATGTTTGCACCTTTGTGGTCTGGGCCGGCTCTAGGTGGCCATCCCTCACGGTCACACACGGGGCACCTTGCTCTCGATTCTGACAGCAAAGTAAGAGGGCGAATGTTTGCATCTTGTGTTATCACTTATCTCAAACTTGAACGTTATTCTTCAAGTCGCTGCAGTCGGGCCTCAGCCCAGCCACTTTGGCGCTTGATGAGACTGGCGCTCGTTCTTGATTGGGCGAGTTTGATAATAATGCGCGTCTTTTCTCGGAAAAGGACTCCCTGTTCTGAACCGTCAGCTTTCTCAAAAGCATGGGCGATGCTGAGTGTTGATTCCAAGAGAGGAAGCGGCCTCGCCGGCTTCACTCGGACCCGCGTCATTCATTTGCCCGAGTCCTTTCGATGTCAACGAGGGCATGCTTGATCACCACCGTCGGTGAACCATTATATGTCAGGCGAGAACAAAGAGCATGATCAAAGGCGTTCTACATTCATTCGTAAACGATGCCAATTCCGAGTAACAAGCCGAGTCAAGACAGTCCGTTGAATAATCAGGTCAAGCTGCCCGCGGATAAATACCATCTGATGATCGCTCGCGTGCCCAATGTGAAGCCGCCCGGCACTTATTAGTCACGAAACGGTCGAGAACCAGCATGTCATTCCGGGCCTCTAAAATAGACGAAGGAAGGAAGGGAAACTTGGGAGGAGCCGTGCGATCGCCCGTGCTCTGACGGAGCTGTTCCGGCTGCGCGTGCGGCATGCTGACTGCACACCCGCGACGCCCGCGCGTCGACGCCTCACGCCGGGGTGAATCCCTGCGGCTTGAGCTCCTGCGCGCTGGGTCCGCCGCGGAGCGACTGCTGCCCGCGCGCGTTGAGGAAGCGCGTCGGCCAGAGCGTGATGAAGAGCGAGGTCGTCATGGCGAGGGGCACCGCGTCGAAGATGTAGAAGAACAGCTCGCGCGTGGCAACGCTGCTGTTGTATCTAAAATAGCCGGTCTCAGCCTGCGAGACATCGCCTGGCCAGCGCGGAAAAAGACGACGCACCCGGCACCGAATTCAGCGACGCGGTAGATCGAGCGCACCGTCAGTCCGACGGAGGTGAACGCGATCATGTAGACCAGCAGGCGCCAGTTCTCGATCGGACGCGCAGACAGCAGCTTGAGCGGCTCCATGTTGTCGGGTTTCCAGACTTGCGGGTAGTGGTTGGCACTGGAAAAAAAGGCGTCAGAGAGATGTAGTCAGGGGCACACGGAGATAGCGGACGTACACTCGCGAAGCAAAAGTAATTAAAGTGTAAGTAAAGAACACGAGCTCAAGGGCCTGGAAGATGAATCCGACCATGGCGATCTGCGAGGGCAAGTCAGCGTTGGATTCTGTGGTTGCATGGACGACCGAAGAATACCTTGGAGCCCACTTTGGCAAGAGAGTCATTCTGAGACACAGTCAACCCTCCTCCGGCGCCGAGCAGCATGATGTTGAGGAGTTCGCCACCGACAAAAATCGGGAGGACGCGCGACGGGCTGATGACAAGGCACCGATAGAGGACGTCGGTGTCGAATGTCTTGATGAGATGACCAAAGAGGAAGGAGTCCGTTAAGACAAATAGGCAGGGCTGCGTAATGTCAGCACTGGATTCAAAGCGAATGGAGAAGTATGTACTCCGAGAAGAAGCAACTGCAATGCTCATCAGCACGGATCTTCCTGCACTTCGATGTTGAAAACGACTCACCATATCCCAGGCGATGAACTTCCACAGCTGGAACGGCGCGGAATGATCCAACGACCGCAGCACGAAACCAGCAGACATAGCTGCCCCAAAATATCAGCCCCGTCCTCTCTAGCCCAGATCTGGGACGTACCGAGCATTCCGAGGGTGTAGTTGAGCATGAACGGTTTATACGGCCGGACCCAGAAGAAGTGAATCAAGGACACGACTGCAGACTGCACGAAAACGACGAGCGCCATGGAGGCAACGGTCCGCTGGAGACACGGTTCATCGTCTGAGGAGCAGTGTTGAATGGGAGGGGGCTCACCGAAGGCGCATGGCCGCCGCTACATCATATATGGAAAGATTAGCCGAGTCCAATCAACGAATCAATGAATCAGTGTACGCACACATGAACAGAAGTATCAGTCGTGTCCCGCTGAACAACTTCTGCCGCAAAGCCCGATGCAAGGCAGGCGGCGAACGTCAAGAAACGGGCAAGTCGAGACATGAGAAGGTAAATGGGTTTACAGTGGTAGAAGATGCTGGAAGTCTCTCATCCCCGCATCTTTATACATACCATTGCATCTGACGACGAGGTGTTTTGGGGCGGTGGAGACGAGGTGCGGAGGACCCGCCGCAGTAAGCAGGTGGTCGCTGCAAATGTTGGCAGCTCGCTGGATTTCCATTTCGGGAAATAATCGCAGTTCGCGTCACTCTCCGGCCCGCCCGCAGCGTGTTTTACGAGAGGTATTACAAGGTATGCTTACACTTTGCTGAGGAGATGTTCCGCCCACCAAGGTAGTAGTGTCTCTACCTGATTCTTTCAAGCGATCGTATCGCAACTGATGTTAAGGACTACATGCTACTGACCTACTGACTACAGGCTACATGAACAGGGCTACAAAACGAGAGTATGTGTGAGTGGTAAAAGACAGGTGTGCAATTAGGAATTGATAAAAGAGTGTAGGGCGGAGTAATCGATGTCGGCTTCAGTCAGCTCCGGGAACATGCCCCAGTCCAAACTCAGGCCAGGCACTGCCGCCGACGCTCTGGGCATCGCCTGGGCATCTGCGTCCCAGCCGGAAGTGCCGTCGTAGTTTTCCACCGGGAGATTCAATCTGGGCAGACTCGACTGTGAGTGGTCGTCGTTCTCGTCCTGCGGGCCCAAGATAGACTCGGGCATGTCTTCCTCCGGGTTCGCGGAGACATCTTCCATCATGTCAGTCAGAGCCGGGTCCCAAACTCCCCCGTCGACGAGCTTCTGGGGACTGGGTGTGGGTTTTGCTCGGCGACTTCCGGCACTTCTAGGGGACGGACTGTTGATGATGTTTCCGAACACAGCACGTGTGGGCGTGACTGGTTGAGTGACAGCGGACGGGATCTCGACGAGGTGAGTTCTGTGGTCCCGTCAGAACACCGAGCAACATGGAAAGAAAACAACGCACTGTTGAGCCGCCTTCTGCCGCTGATTGGTCCCAGTTTGAGTGGCCGACGGCGTGCTACACACCGGCGATTAGCCCTGAGAGGTGGATGATAAGAGACGGACATACGCGGGCGGAGTTCTGTTCCATCCGATCAGCGACGAGCCAAACTGCGTCACGGCTCGAGGCTGGCCGGGCGCCAGCTGTGGCCAAGCCTTGATCTTGTCCTGTTCCCACTGCCGCTCTGCTTCCTCGTGCTCGCGCAGACGGCGCTCCTGCTCTGCTTTCTCGCGCGCGGCCTGCTCCTGCATCTGGACCTGCGTCGCGCGATGCCACTGCGCATACTGAGCTTGGAACGAGTACATCTTTCGCACCATCTCGGGCGTAATTTCGATCGGCTGATGCGGGGTGACACTTGCGGAGGAGGCAGCGGGGGCGACAGATTTCGAAGCCGAGGCCGCTTGGGCTGGCGCTGCAGGGGCGCGAGCTCGGCGTTTGGGGATGTGAGGTGTTTCAATCCGGAAGGTGAATTGGCCCGAAGGAAGGGAGGGTTGGTTGGGAATAGCAAATGAGTGTGCGGTGGGTGTTTTTACAGATCCAGCTGAAGGGGGTTGCGACGTCGCTGCTGTGGCCTTGGACTTCCTCGGCCGGCGAGCGGCAGCTCCTGCACGCGCAGTGACGGTTTTTGTTGTGTTCGCAATAGGCGCCACCGGGGCGCTAGCGATGTTCTGATGCGCAGGGGTGGACATGATTCCTCAATACAATGTCGTCGAGCTATCAAAGCACGGTCTTTCGTTTATGAGTTGAAGGAAGAGGATCTGCGCAAGCAAAAAAAGGTGCTGTCGACGCAGGACTCGTCCTACTTATCGGCTGGAAACTGACCCACCTAATGCGTCGAACAATGGCCAAGGTGGGGTGCGCGTAATCTGATCTTATCTAAAGCCTCACAGCTCGCTTAGTGGTTCCATGGATGCTTCTCTGGACCTACGAAGATCAATCAACATAAGCCATTAGTTGGGGAGACAATGTATTCTCACGATCCACTTTTGGTTTCCGACACAATGCTTTTTGGGCTGTATGTCACAGCCAAGGACACGTGGGTATGATCCCACCTGGTCACCTTGCTCGCCCACACGACGATCTATCTTCATCCGAAAGCAAAGACCGGGGCTACAATCTGGATAGTTGCGCATCAGATTCGTTCGGATGAACTCAAGACTGACTTGCCCATTAGACCGCCCTCTGCCCTTCACGGCGGTTTCAGCCATGTCTTGTGCAGGTATCCGAGGGCGGCCGACTAAACTGGAAACAACCAAAGTCTTGTGCGTAGGATATACCCTCGATCGTGCCATCAACTCCAGCAGTTCCCGCCGAAGCAAGGACGGTAAACAGCTCTCTTTTTTCGTAGGAGATTTCCGGAGTGTCTGGGCAGGCGAATGGAACCGTGCTATCTGACGCTGCGACCGAAGAAATGCCGCTCCGAGTCCTACCTGGGGATCATCATGAGAGCTCAGGACGTTTGCGCCAGATTCTGATTGAAAACAAGTGTTCGATGACAGCATCGGAGGTTGTTTCCCAATCTTGGCGGTGCTGTCGCATCGTTTGCCAGCGGTTGAGGAGTAGTGGGACGAGAGCGACCGATTCAAGTTACGGGATTGTGACGGGTGCCTTCAGATCACTGATCTTTTCCTGCCATCACCGCCCACTGCAATTTTCCTGCTTTCGGTTCCTGCTCAAGACGAAGAGGGGAACCATGAACTCTTAAACACCCCGCGAATTGACTCAGAGTCTAAATCTTCAACTCGTTGGACTATGAAGAGGACGAGGGCGATGATGAACTCCCAATGACTCGGACAGGCATGGATTCCTCCTGAGTCGGTCTCATAAGCTACGACTTTGCTCTTTCACTCGTGGGCTCCCTGCGGAAAGGAGGATTTCTTGTCACGCGTGGGGGACATAACCATAAACAGCGACCCCGCGGACGCTCCCAACGACGAGTTGAGAGGGACAGCAAGCGCAGCCTACTACGGCGAAGAGTTTTCTATACGTCAGCTACGAGAAGCCGTATGTGATGATAAACTCGAATCTTGTTGCACCACCAGCCAGACAACATATTCAGAACATGCCATGCAATAGCCTGTCCGCTGAGGATCGACGTCGTAGCGATCAGGTGGATCAAGGGCCAGCTCTCCGGCTGTGTGCAGATGCGGATTCGCGCTCTCTCTTGCGGACGATGCCAATAAGGCAGGCGCAAAAAAAAACGATCCGATCTTGTATTGCTCGGCATCCGCTGGCTTTGCCCATGGATTGTTCACCGGATCTATCAAAGCTGGAGTGGCCCTCTCCGCCGCATTTAGTGCAGAGCTCAGCACAGTCCTGACAAGCCCAATTCTCGAGCTCTGACCTGGGGCATACCCAGGATACCACTGTTGGCAGTTGCTGCCTAATCATTTCAAACGAGATCGTGGGATACCAGGCACTTTCCACGAGGATTCTGCGTAGATCGCTGTCTGCGGATTCCCGATTTGAGGTCCGCCCTCATTCTCGATGGAGACTTCCGGATGCGAACGATATCATTTGTGCGATCACGATGTGCTGCTCTCTCCTGACGTCCCCTCTCGAAAGCTCCCGCAGCAACGCCTCCTCCATCGGTTTTCCGCTCGCGTGTTGTGACGGATTGAAGATAAGGCCCACCGGGGTGACCTCTAAGCTGTGCACGAGGACGATGCACGAAAACTAAAAAGCGCAGCAATTCGTAGAGGAAGCGGTCTGTCGAAGAGCATCTCGACAGAACTGCAATGGCATGCGGCAAAAGAGGAAGTTCGGTGACACTGAGCCACTTCCACAAGTCGAATAGAATAGCAGAGTGACTGTACACGATGATTTGTGTGTCGCCCTCGGCTCGTTACACCTTCCGACCTTCATGTCCTGATAGCGATCATGAATCTCAGTAAGGGCCAACAGTATCATTCCGAGGGAACCTTCGCAGTGCGGAGAAGACGGGTCATCATCCAGGGGACTTCAGAATGCTCATCTTGCAAACATAGTTCGCCTACCTGGAGCAGATTGAGCTGGATCCTACCGATATTGCCAACGAAAGTGTGGGCGATCTTTTGCGAAATCTCTTCGATGTCGTCGAAATTGGGCCCGCAGAAGACTGAATGCAATACACCAGCTGCTACTACCGAAATGGATGACGAGGGCAAGCATATCGTTCTTAAGAATGTCCGAAACGTCGTCTGTCCAAGTGGTCGGATGTAAGGGAACACAAACAGGTTGTTTGGCTACGATTTGGCTTCACCGCCTGAAAAGGCATCTCATACTTATCACCATCATGAGCCACACCATCAAAGGCCTCACCGCGTCTCCAGTGAAGTACGACGGCTCTACGTTGCGCGTCTGCATCGTCCATGCACGCTGGAACACGGCAGTCATCGACGCCCTCCTCGCTGGCGCGATCTCCAAGCTCAAGGAGAGCGGTGTGAAGGAGAGCAACATCATCATCCAATCCGTCCCCGGAAGCTTCGAACTTCCGTTAGCTTGCTCCCGGTCTGTATACGATCGCTCGTTTGTCGCCCAGCTCTTTCATACCGACCCTGCAGTGTAATCGCTGGATCGCACGTCCAAGCCGCGTCGAATGTGACGGATCTGCTGAGCGGACTTTCGATGGGAAGCCCCCAGTTGTCGCGCAGCGGCACACCTGCACCAGCCGGTGTCGTGACCATGCCCAACGAGCCGTTTGACGCCGTGATTGCCATTGGGGTGCTCATCAAAGGTATGCGACCTAGCGCAGCTCTAGAATTCATGCCTGACGACCGTGCTTACGAACATGAAGGCTCGACGATGCACTTCGAATACATCTGCGACGCGGTCTCGCACGCGCTGATGAAAGTCCAGCTAGACACCGGCGTGCCAGTCATCTTTGGTGTGCTCACGGCGCTGACGGACGAGCAAGCGCTTCAGCGCGCGGGTCTTGCCCCCGGCAGTCACAATCACGGCGAAGATTGGGGCCTAGCCGCAGTCGAGATGGGATCGCACGTACGTCGCTGGAAGGAGGGGAAGTTCACGTAGAAGAAGAGAAGTCCAACACAACAACAAGAAGTGTACAGGTAACTACATACAACACGCAGTTATTTATCAACAGTGACGTTCTCGCCGATGTATCCATTCGATTCCCATGCGATCGCAGAGATGGGCGAGTTCGTCGACTTGGCCTGGGGCAGCCGGCCGACCTCGAGCGGCACTATTCGCTCGCAGTTCGCCAATCATTTCGAGTTTCTTGAGCACATCTTTCAATGGGAAATGGTCACGTCTCAGCCACGCGCCGACGACCGGGACTGGAAGTGCAATCACCGAGAGTCTTGAGACTCGAAGATGTTCGATGCGGGACGGAAGCTTGTCGAGAATGGACGGCGTAACCGGAACACCGTTCAGACTGAGTATCTTGAGCCGATGGAGACTAGCGATCGTAGAATCCTCCCAATGCCGAGGCCGGCCCTCTTGTGAATGGTAGTCGGTGATGGTAAGAAGCTCGAGAGTGTTCGCGAGCAGATCCAAGCACTTCTTTAGCTGGCCTCGGCGCATGGGAGCCAAGCCATCAAGAACTAGCTCCCTCAAGCCGGACATGCTACGGAAGAGTGCCGAGAGACCATCGCAAACGACAGGCTTGTTGATATTCGAGATCGATAGGCCGGTGCATAGAGACGACCGGGCGGGAAGAGCGAATGCGATGTCTTCTGCGCCTTCTCCGCCGATGGACAGCTCGGAGATGTCCAATTCCTTCAGACATGGGAACGCAACGATGTTCTTCAGCCATCCGCGCTGCAAACTACCCATGCAGTTTTCGCATTGTCTGCACCCGGTCAGATGGACTTCCGTGAGCTTCACCGTCGGGGGTGACTGCACAGACAGCGCCCAGACCATGTCACCGCCATACAGTCTGACAATTGTGAGTTGTGGGCATGCCTCGAGAAACCAGCGAAACGCTGTAGCGCTCAGTGACCGGGGCTCCCACGCAGCGGTGACACTGAAGTGCGTCTGATACCCGTCGAGCAACCTTGTTTGGCTGCAAGTTGAGTAGAGGTCGGCGCTTCTCACGAACTTGGCGAGGTGCGGGCAGAAGCGCAGTTGGCCGGTGAGCAGCAGGAACCGTTCGACTCCTTCGACGTGTAAATCACGGTACAGATTGCGTCGGACAGGATTCACGAATGCGCGGCACACAAGCGCGAGTGCGAGGAAGTTCTTGTGTCGTGGTGAGTTGCTCTACACGCGAGCGAGATGCCTGCGGTACGGTACCTTAGGCAGCCTCGTGTCATCCCAAACCCCGTCGTCGTCCACTTTGTCGAGGAAGAGCTCATCTACAATGTTGTCGATCACATCCTCAAAGGCCAGGAACGGCATTGGAGAGGAGGATAGAGAGAGCGAGTTTGTTATCTTCCTACGTACATGGCAGTTCCGAAGATGGCTGTACCTGGAAACGTGGGCATGGTCCCGTGCCAGGACGCACGAACTTTCACAGGCAATTATGCAAGCTTAATTTAGAATCCCCGGTCGGCGCAGTGGACTCTGAATATCGTCATGAAGGGTCGACGACCGTTGGCGGCCCGTGCGTAGATAGTCGTGTCATCAAAAACCAATCAATAGAAGCGCAAAGCGCATGTCTTAACGGACTGATCTTGCACAGTACAGCAGATTAGATTGGAAGACGATATTGAGCAATAATATACATGTTGGCGCTCGCAAGGGACATGGGGATAGATGAGATGAAGCCAGTGATCGGATATCATGCCTGGGCTTGTAACTGCTCAAACTTGCGGCGAGCCATTCGGACATTGAGCTTCAAAGCGGCAGTTTCTACTGGAATGAGAACGAGAAGCCGGCAAAGGAGGAGGGTGACACACCTATAGAAGGATCGTGCACGATAATGAGGACATATGTGTTCTTGGTCATCTCATCCAGCACCGCGGTAAACTCTGGAAGCTCCATTTCCAGGGTGTGAAACTCGTCTCGAACGCGAGAACACGAGTACTTGAACTGCTTGATGATTTCGGATGTCCGCTCGTATCTCGTGCCCTCTAGCCCTCTAGAATCGAATTCTGGGGAGCCCGAGGTGATTGCTGAGGTCGCAATCACTAGGAAGGTGGTTCGCTCGAAAAGGATGACTTCCGTCGCACTGCATGCCTCCGCGAAGATGTTGAGATGTTTTGTGAGTACGGCTGCGTTGGGAATCAGAGTATGGACGATGCTCGACCAGGCCTTGTCGACAGTGAGCTGCTGAATGAGCTGTACTCTGTAGGACACACCCGATATAAACTCTCGTCGTAGATGCTCGTTCCAAAGACAGTGACAGTCTCCACATCTGACTGCGTCGGTCCCTTCTCACTCTGCGCTAGTAACTCTTTCTTCTTCCGTTCGAATGTCGCGTCCCGATCCCGAACAAGGTCCATTTTGTGCACAAGAAGGAAGACGGCCGCCTCTGGGCTGTATGTACGCAGAGAGTCCAAGCAGTCCCGGTAGTATTCCATGATGTTGTTGTTTTCTTGCCCCTCGATGTCGAAGACGTAGATGAGCACACCGACATGCTGGAAGATGGTCGACTTTTGCGTGGTGAGGTACGAGTCCATGAACGAATCTTGACCACCGCAATCCCAGAGATTGAGAATGAGATCGCCGAGGAAGCGAACATGGTTCTGCTCGACATCGATAGTGGCGCCTAGACGCGAGGTGAGGGACGCGGGGTTATTGGAGCTGTCGCAAAGTGAGTGGAAGTGACCTTCGACCATCGCACAACGCACAATATGAGAGAGCGCATAGACGTCTTCCCACTCCCGGAGGCACCCATCAACAGAACCTTGAGAAGGACCAAGACTCAGAAACAGACAAAAGAATGGTAATGCGCCGACAAACCTTTTGCTTCATGCTGGCTTACGAAGGCACGGTCCAAGTCGACAGAGCTATGGGCTTCAAAGCCTCATATAAGACGGGCTTGCGCGTCCAAAGACGTTTCGAGCCAAGTTTTCTGAGTCGTCGCTGTGGAGAGAGGGAAGCGGCAGCCAATGTGTAATGGCATCGAAGCCTAGGGCATTTGCCGTGATTGATGATGGTATTGAGTCACCTCTGATTGAATCACGATCATTGACTTACGTGATCCTATTCCCCTTCCTCCAAAAATTTTACGACCCCACCGGAACGCATAGACGATGGACGGAAACTTGGCAAGCAAGTACTAGTTTAAGATCGGTCTTACTCCCCCAACTTATCTAGTTCTCTAGCGACATATACCTTAATACACGCCTTCCTCACGAAGCAATCACATTCGAAAGCAGCGGATGCTCTCAAAAAAGCTGCGAAAGACGTCGTCGTGCTGAAGGACAACGTTCCTGTGGAAGGGCCTCATTTGGATGAAATCTTGAAGGAATGGAAGGTCTTGAAGGCATCTGCCATGTCAGACTCGTGCGTAACCTAAACGGGACCTAGATTTTCTGAGTGCCCATTCAACGTTTAGTTCTTCATCTTCAAGTTCGAGTTCGGACTCGGAATCCAGCTCGGAATCCAGCTCCAGCTCGTCGAGCTCAGACTCAGATTCTGACGACAGTGGGTTCATCACGAATCTCCTCCGCTATCGTCTCGTTCTAAGTGATACGGAAGCGTCATCCGATTCCAGCGACTCGTCCGACTCGTCTTCTTCTTCATCAGCAATCCCCTCCACTCTTTCAAGCAAGAAAACAAAAACCTCAGCTAAAGGCAAAGCCAAGGCATCATCGAAAGGCTCCTCGAAAGGCTCCTCTAAAAGCTCCTCGTCGGACTCCAGTGACTCTGACCCGGAACCCGTGAAATCGAAAGCGGCCGTCAAGAAAGATGTGCCGGAGTCGACTGCCACTACAAATAGCAAAGCATCCTGTGCGTCGAACCTCCTCCAGCGATCCTTGCTGATCTGTCCTCCGCAGCATCCTCCTCCAGCTCATCTGAAGATGACTCGGGTTCTGAATCTGGTGAGCTATCTTCGCTGCTATCATTTGCATCCTTTGCTTACCCAGTTTCAGACGACGAATCAAGCGACTCTGAAGAAAAACTGGCAGTGAAGAAGAAGCCGTCTAGCGAGCGATCATCCAGCCGCACGCTATCTACCGCGGGCAGTGTCTCAGGGGACCTCGTGAAATCGAAGGAGCCACCAAAAAAAGCTCCTGCAAGCAGCGATTCCGACTCTGATTCCGACTCTGATTCCGACTCATCGTCATCTTCCTCTTCTTCGTCCGATTCAGATTCAAGTTCGGACTCAGACTCCTCTTCATCTTCATCTTCGTCTTCCTCCTCCTCTTCCACCAAAACGCCAACAGCGCCACCCAACGCCTCGCAGCCGGCTGCAGAGTCCATGCAGACCGCCAAAAAGAGACGCACCGCGGACGATGGGACTGCAGTCGTCACTGCCGTAGTGAATAACTCGATCAGCCGCGACGGTCCGACCGAGCTATCTGGGCGCAAAGTTAACATCCCGTTTCAACGCGTGAATCCGCATAGTGTCGCGAGAGAATACATGATGGACAACCGGTACACGTCCAAGGTTCGTTCGACCACTTGATCGATCAGGGTCCTTCTCACCTCACTTCAGGGGGGGTCGGCGAATGACTACGGCGCCAAAGCTCACAATGATCTTATCGTTACTCGCGGTGCTGGTTTCCGCAAGGAGAAGAACAAGAAGAAGCGTGGCAGTTACAAGGGAGGAGAAATCACCGTAAGTTGGGCTACTCAGCTCGCCAACCCGGCATTGACGATTCTCTCAGATGCAAAGTCATAGTATCAAGTTCGATTGATCTCATTTACTATGACCATCTACCTAATGTTGCATGAGGAGCCAAATAGATTTACTACAGCCATCAGTGGCACAGCACAGTAGATAAGATTAGATGTCCGTTACCCGTGGCGAGGCCCCGGTCGGACTTGCTTCTCACGCTTGACGACCATGCCCGAAGTTGCGACCCCGGATGGCGCACGAATTGCATTCGATATCCTCGGCAATCCGGAAAAGTCCGCAAGTCTTCCTATCGTTCTCGTTAGTGGAATGAGTTCGGTCAGAGGCGACTGGAATCGGTTGTCACGCAGACTGGCGCAGACGAGGCTCGGTGAGGCACTGTGCTGTCTTGGACTACACGTCGTTGACAGGCTTTCATGGGGAAAGTCCTTGTGTACGACCACCGGTCAGTAGAGTGCACTCGTGCTGCGAGATAGTTAAGTGTAATGCTGAACTGCCGCTCAGTGGAATGGGGGAGTCGAAGTTGCCGAGCGGAAACGACAAGTTCACGATCGAAACATTGGCCTCCGACCTCGCATTCTTGATTAACCACGTGGGCTGGCAGGAGATGGGTGTCTGTGGATTCTCTATGGGTGGTGCAGTGGTTTCACGAACATCCTGAGCCAAGCTCCAACTCAACGAGCAGGTGCGGTGACACAGCAATTGCTCATCCTCTCCCACCCGTTCGCCTTCAAAGTCACGCATGTCATTCTCGCGGCGACATTCATCAAATCATTCAAGGAACCTGGATTCGGGCTGCCTCTCCCTCCAAATCGAGTGCTTTCGGAACAAGACAAGCGGGACTTCACGCGCCTTGTGGTAGAAAAAGGCTTTGATCAAGCCTGGCTGAAGAACCCAGCAAATAGTTCTCAGTTGGACGAACTCGTCGTCGCTTCTTCCGTGGGCAGGTGAGCGTGACTTCATTCCTCCCTTCATCCATTACATCTAAATGGACGCGGTCCAGGCCGCGAAAAGTGATCTGTACGTCCGAAGGGGAAGCTCAACTTGCTCTGATGCCAGCATTGCACAGTGAGACAAATGAAGGCCGCCAACCACGTCGACTTCACCGCTCTGCCCCCGCCGAATGACACCCAGGTTCTAGTCATTCACGGCGCCCTGGACTCGATCGTGCCCCCGCGCATGGGGAATGAATTCTTGGCCCGGATACCATGGGCTCGGTCCCTTGTGGTCGATGCAACCGGGCGACCGGGAACAGTCCCCAGCCTCGATTTCGGCCACACCTGGTTCGAATATTTCCCAGTCCGGGTCTGGCAGGATGTGATCGACGACTTTTTGGCCTCCACATCAGCATCCACTTCTGTAGCTGTCCGCACGACTGCCCGCTTGTAATATCGGGCTTGAATACAACAGATTCTTCCCTCCCCATGGATCTCCTGCACTCATCGCTGTCACTGACACTATCGATTCAACTCTGAGTCTCCGGATGAGTGGATCCGCCGCCGCGGTGGCTACGGAGGATCGGCAGAGCAAGCTTATAAGCCTGAGCATAAAAACGCAAAATAGCGTTTGAGGTTGGGTAGCCTGTCTTTCCCTCTCATGCCCCACCTCACCCTCCCAGACGGCGCGCGCCTTGCTTATGAGATGCTTGGCAGTGAGCATTTCTCGAGAAACAGCCTCCCCATCGTGTTTGTCGGCGGGGCGAGCAATGTCGGAAGGGACTTTGAACCTCTGGCGATTTCTCTGGCGCGTGTGAGACCTGGTGCGCACTAGTGGCCCGACGTTCTGCAGATCAAGGGCTTATTGGTTGCGGCAATTTGGTAGTCTTGTTGTATGACATCCGGTTAGTGGACGGCTTGCAGTTCCGTGGGCGATGTTTTCACCCCTAGCGCATCAGAGGAATAGGCCACTCGACTATGACAGGCGAGGAATATACAGTTGACCTCCTCGCCCGAGATCTACTTGCTCTCCTCAAGCACGTGGGATGGAAGAAGCTTGCCATCTGTGGATTCTCGATGGGTGGTGCGCGAGGCTATTAGGCCGAGTAGCCCAAAGCTTATATCCAAACTCGTCAGGCACCATCGCCCAGTCGCTGATCTTCCTACCATTCCACGCAACGGCACCCGAATCTCTTCCCTTCGTCGTTACCCATGTCGTCTTCGCTTCTTCGCTGTGCTCGGTGATCACCGACCAGAATTACGGTCTGCGAGTTCGTCCGGTTAGGAGGCCAAAGGAAAATACTAGGCCGGAGAGGAACGTATCAAAAGCTGCCTTCAGATCCGCTTTCGATCCACGATGGATGGAGGACCCCCGCAACGAAGCGCGCTTGAACTATTGGATTCAAACGAGCACAATCGGACGGTGAGACAGGCAGCGTGCAGAACTTGCAACCGAACTGAACAACGAAGGCCGAGAGCAGTCATCGCAAAGCAGTTGCAGGCAGCAAGTTTCTAATGTGCGGAATCTGGAATACAGCTGACGATGTATTCAGGGATACAGCTTTGATCTCGGAAACCACTACCACAAGCTGTCCCGGGACACCCGATTCCTCGTCATCCACGGCAGCTTAGACGCGATCCTGCCTCCCTCGTGTAGTGAAGAGATCCTGCAACGGATTCCCTGGGCACGCAAGGTAGAAGTCGGCGCCTATCCGGGGGCGGTCCCGACGCTGGAGTTCGGGCACAACTGTTTCGATTACTTCGACATCCAGATCTGGCACGACGTAATCGAAATGTTCCTCGTCGTACTACCGAAACTATAGCTTTCCACCCCCGTTTTCAGAGCGCGGTCAGCGGACGGATCCACTCGGAGCGGATCCAGTCTGCGGTCTTCTTCTCTGTGCGCACGTATTGCCAGTCGAACATGGTGTCGCGGTCCAGTCTGAAGGGATTGATGTTTCGGTCGGAGACGACTGTCGAGTGCAGTACGATCCACTCCTTGGGCTCGGCGGTCTGCCAGAGGACCTTGGGCCAGTACCACCGCGTGACAGGGTGTATGAGTAGCCGGTCTGATCCTGAGAGGATGCCAGCCGCGACATCGTCCGGGACAGAGTGCATGTCGAAGGTCACCAAGAAACGATTGTCCCACATAATCTGCATCTTCGTGCCCTTGTCATGGTCTCTGGCCTCCAGCTTCGCCCTGAATTGCTCGGTGATATCAACGCGCACGGCATTTTCGAGCTCCTCCTCGATAACAGTGCGCATCTGGATGGGGGGCTGGCGCGATACCAGCCAGCCGTCGATGTCACCCGGCTGTGGGGTATACTTGGTCGCACTGAACCGTATTCGAGTAGATCCGACTGTCACAGGCTGCCAGAGAACGCCGCCGCCCGCCGCGAAAGGTGCGAGGCCCGCCCCGATGGGATCTGGTGTCCACAGCGCCTTCATGATCCGCACCAGACTCTGTCGGCGCCGGTTTCCGTCTGCGCGGAGAGAGCCCCACGGGTTGAGCGACAGGTAGCGCGTGATTCGCAGGATGAGCGCCCGGCGGACGTTCATGTCGTGGATGGTTTTGAGACCGCGGTACGAAAGGAGCATTGTGCCCTCTGGCGAGGGCAGGCGACACCGATTGAGGCAGCTGTCCACTGGAAAACATGTCGAATGGATTTTTCTGAAAGTAGAACTGAAAACGCACCTTCGCTTTCGATATCTTCCACCTGATCCGTGAGACTCAACACCGACATGCGCACAGATTCGGGCCCATCGGCAGGGTCGATGTTGACCAATTCCAGATCCGATAGACCTTCTTGAATTTGATCGATATGTTCCTGGATATGCTCAGGAATGTCTGTCCCGAGAGCCTGTGCCGAGCTCAGACGGGATCTTTGAAGTGTACTCGAAGACGCACCGTAGAGTCAAGCGTGTTGAGTGACAATAGCTTTCGGATAGAGTTCCGGATTGTAAGTTCGGGCTGGAAGTTGGTAGAGTCGGTCACGTATTCCAGATTCTCCTCGGCACACGTCGCCAGAATTCGGTCCTACGTGCAGAGTATGTATAGACCCCAAGTGATAGAAAGACAGCGCGAGCCAACCTTGCTAACATCCAGCAAGGGACGAATCATCCATCGCGACATCCCCGGCAGCCCAGCGAAACCCAGTTCCCCCCGCGTATCGACCGCGCACATACCCCACCGGCGCACGCGCTTCATGCCGCCCGCGCCCATCTCCGTCGAGCCCTTCCCCAGGCGCATCAGCGACGTCTCGACCTGGTCGTCCGCATGGTGTCCGAGCGCGAGCACGTCGACGCCCTCGCGCAGCATCATCTCGAACATCGTGTGGTAGCGCGAGGTGCGCGCGGCCGTCTCGAAGGGCGTCCCGGGCTGCGGTTTGTCCGGGTGCGGCGCGGCGCCCCACGGGATGACGGCGGAGGCGTGTTTGACGCCGAGCGTCTTGGCGACGCTCGCGCAGTGCGCGGCCATGGCGGCGGAGGACGGCTGGAGGTCATGGTCGATGGTGAGCGACACAAGTCTGGAGTGCGCGTCCTCGGGGGAGATTCTGCGACTCTCTAGGCCTTTTGGACGGGATGTTGACGCACCGCGGACGTCATTGAGATAGCGGTTGAGAAGGAAGAGCAGACATGTCGAGTCGGATCCACCTGAGTTGGCAACACCTGCAAAGGACATGAGAACCCGTCACGCGTAGAGCGAAGCGCTTGCCACGCGCCAATTCTAGTTGGCCAGCCGGATGGAGGTCTGCATCTCTGGATTAACCGCGCAAACTCTTGTCGAGAGATGGGGCTCAAGGGCATAAAAGATACTTGTGGCGATGCGGTACACTCGGATCAATGTCAAACGGTCCGGACCACTCAACCATCACATTCGACAAGAATTATGTGTGTAAGTACAAGCCAAACGGCTAGAAACGAGTCCACCCATCTCCTTCTACCTTGTGGCCCTTCTTTCTCAGCTCCTGAACCGTCTGCGCACTATACGGGCGCGCATACTTGATTGCAAAATGATCAAACTCTCTGTCCGCGGCAGGCCCTTCCAACACCCGTAATCGAACGCGTCCATGGTCATCCGGGGCAGTCTGGAAGTTTTCAGACGCCGTAAAAAATTCTTTCTTCGCAATGCAAACTCACGAGGACGGCAGCAGGCGTATACACGACCTCCTTCGTCGATCCAGTCGACCCAGACGCCACCGAACGCGCCACAGGCAGCGGAGCCAGCACGATCTGCCGGCCGCTGCTGAACTCGTCCCGCAGAGAAGAAACGCCGTCCCCAGCACATTCCAGCGGCGCGATCTCCTTGAAGAATGGCGAGAACATTTTTTCCTGCGGCTCTTTCGTCCGCGGATTGGCGAACGAAACGACGTAGGTGCGACGCTGGCTCCCATCCTGCAAGAGAATGTCAGAAGAAACCTTCGCTCGAGGGAACGCGAGGTCCGAGTACCTCGTTCTCGATCAGAATCGGGCGCACGACCTGCCCGACATACCAGCCCGAATAGCTGTCAGTGCTGGCATTCCATCGCCGGATGCGAACCGAATCTCCAATCTGAGGACTTTTTCAGTGACGGGCGGGGATTTCTTCTCTTTGCCAAAATCCGACCTTGAAGTAATCGACGCCGTCTTCGAGCTCTGGAATCGGAAAGAATCCTCCGCTGGAAAGCTTCCGTGAAGAGCTCGCTGGAATGTTTCTTTCGATTCGATCGACAGTCTCCAGAGAAGCGGAGCTGGTCTTCCTCTGCCGGTGTCCCTTCCACGGAGCAGGTTCTCCAAGGGGGCTGAACATAGCAGCGCTCAGCGGGGCAATGCTCGGCGCAGGCGGATAATAATACTGAGGACGAGTGTGATACATGGGTGGCTGACAGTGGCATTTTCCTCTCCCCGATTTTATAGCGAGACTGAATCCGCGCTTTGACGCTCGAATTAGGAAACCCTTTGGCCTGCCATTGTCCTTCGCTAGGACCGAGCATTGTATGCACGTGACCTTTCTACGCGTTATTAGCTTGTTGTGAACAACAATACTGACGATAGCAAGTGCGCGAGTGGAATTTCCAGCAGAGAAAAGAAAGAATACAGAAAGCGACGGAATACAGAATGGGACGAGTACAACAGATCAGATGGGATTCTCCGCGAGAGGGGTATTGAGCAGTGGGAACGACCCAGCGCCGGGGTCTGAGCCGCGTCGCGGAGTGTCCTGCACCGATCCCTCCGAAGGAGAAGACGGCTCAGGAGGAGGATAAGGCGTCCCTCCGACCACCGCTAACATATCGACACATTCGCTGCCCAGCGTGATTGGCGTGACCGGAGCGGGATATACCAGCTCCACTTCGCGCGCACGCTCGTCAGGCGCCCACGGGTTCGCAAATTGGCCCCGGATCTGCGGGACAGCGAGCTCAGTTCTCGGGGGCGAGAGCGAGTGGATCGACGCGGCTGGCGAGTGCGGGTGGAACCCTCGCGCGGCGATCGGCCCTGGTTTGCCGTACTCCAGCGACTGACTCTGCGGCCGATACCGCATAGAGATGGGCGTTGCGTGCTGTCCGGGCGTGTGCAAGTCGAGCTCTGAAGCCGACCGAGACAGGGGCTCCGGCAGCGTGCTTTCGGACGACTCGGACGAGTGCGAGAGATTGATGCTGAAGACAGACGCTGTCGCCGACGGCGGCTCCGAGCTACGATCCAGACAAGCAAGTCAGATCTGCGGATCAGATGGCGGACACGGACGATAGCACTTACCCAGAACTGGCACCGTCGTCGTGATAGTCAAAATCGAGCCCCAGCGTGTTGCGCGGGACGTTCTGGCGCATGTCGAACTGCACCACGGCCGGCGGCGCCCGCGCGGCACCTGCCCCGTCCTGCGACACAGGCCGATGCGCCATCGCCGCTGGGTACGGCCGCGGCTGGGTGGGGTGGAACGCAGCGTCGCCCAGCCGCAGCGCCGAATGGCTCTGCGCGCGCCGCACGAAGTGCTGCTGCTGCTGCCCCAGGTCCTGGAGGTGCCCGCCGTGGTGTGGGTTGAGGAAGGGGTAGAATGGGTCCGGCTGTGGCACCTGCGGCAGGGACATCCGGGTGTACTCGTGCGGCTGGGGCGCATACGGGGGAAAGCGGCGATGGCCGCCGCCCATGGCCTGCTGGGGGGAATACGTGTGGTGGATGCCATACTCGGGCGAGTAGTCCGCGAGCGGGTGGCCCATCATCTCCTCCTGTTTCACACCGCGTACTAGACCTGCGTCGTCGGCGTACCGCATGTCGAGGGAGGACGTCGAGACCGCCTGGCGGATCCGGGCTTTCGCGGGCCCGCGGACGCGTTCTCGTCCGGAGTAGTGGCATATCAACCCGCGCGCCGTGCAGCGCTTGCACACCGGATGGTCGCCTGAACACTGCGAAGATCCACTTGAGACACCGCCGGCGGGCCGACGCCTGCTGACGCACCTTGGTCTTCCTGTCCCTGCACTTGTCGCAAGCCTGCGTCGTCCGCTGCCGGGATGGTTGCGCGCCGAGATCGTAATCGGGCGGGATGGGCGAATAGTCCATATCGAAACTCTGCGACGTTCTGCGCGATATCGGCGACGATTCAGGGGAGGCCGTCAGATCCCAGCGCTGGAACATATTGGAGAACCCGCTCAGTTCGAGCGACGGACGCCGTTGTCCTGGAGTAGCAATGGGAATGGGACGCAAAGGATGTGTGGACTCGTATGTTGCGGCAAACATGTCGAGTGGGCGGATGTCTGGAAAGGGCCAAGATGGTCCGCTGAAAATTATAGCAGCTCAGTCTCCTGTGTCAGGCATCCGCTCATTCAATTCCAATTTGGTCCATTTTGATCACCGCCTTCGATCCGTTTTTCGATCGATCACTTGACGCTGAGCTCCGTGAGCCCGCTCATACAGTGTCATGTAGTGTGCTACGACGCTCTCCCGAGTATCTCCTGGTTGAATTCACGCCCAATCAACATCCGTCGAATTTCCTGCGACCCAGCCCCCACAGCATACAACCTGGAATCCCTGACGATGCGACCCACGGCATATTCTGGGTAATCAGACAGATCAGACCCTGCACAGAAGCAGAGGACGGTCAAAATCACCGTTAATATATCCATTTCCACCCAGCGCTTGCTGGGCCTCGAGCGCGACCTGGATCGCCTTCTCCGTGGAATACAGAATCGCGCCGGCACAGTCCTCCATACAAATTCAGTAGATGCGTTCCCGGAAACTGGCCCTGCTCACTCGACGGCTGATTTTGCCTTGGTCACAGGCTCTCGCCACGGCATACACATAGGATCTGCTCGCGTTAAGGTTGGTGTACATGTCGGCGATCTTGCCTGTCACGAGTTGAGCTGGTACATAGATGATCCCTGGTACGAACCTTGCATCAATTGAAACGTCCCAATCGCCTGTCCAAATTGCTTGCGCTCATGGACGTATTCGAGTGCGTAATCAAATGCCGCCTGCATTAGTCTGAAATCCCGTCATGTCAGGCGCTGACATCATCACAGAGAATTGAAATTACCCCAGAGGCCCCTAATCATGCCAGTGAGGGGTCAGCTTTCAAGAGAATGACAGGCAACGTACACCACTCAGAACGAGCCTTTCGAGGTCTAACCCTGACATGAGCACTGCCGCCCCTCTGTTGACTTGACCAAGTACATTCTCTGCATTTCATGTCTCGAAATCAGAACGATGCAGAAATACAAATGCGAACCTTCTGGAACGAAGCAGTCCTCGAATACCAATTCGCACGTGTCACTGCCTCGCATCCCGAATTTGTCCAGCTTCGGGCTCGTCGAGAATCCCTCAAATCCTCGCTCGACCAGGAAGGCTGTGATTCCCTTGGACTTTTTCTCCGGTGCAGTCTTGGCGTACACCACTAGCGTCGATGCCGAGGGGCCGTTTGTAATCCTGTTGAGGAACACCACAGATGGAATCTGCATGAGGACCGCACCAGCAACTGAAACGAGTACCGCACCAGAACTTATTGCCTGTCAATCTCCAACCGCGCTCGACTTTATCCGCCCTGAGCTGCATACTGACGACATCGCTGCCGCTCCCCGTCTCGCTCATCGCGAGGCTGCCGACCTTCGCGCCGCTGATGAGGTCCGGCAGATACTTGGCCTTCTGCGCGGCCGTGCCGTGCCGGTGGATCTGGTTGACGCAGAGGTTCGAGTGGGCGCCGTAGGACAGCGCCACCGAGCCCGACGCGCGCGAGAGCGACTCCATCGCAAGCGTGTGCTGCAGATAGCCGAGCCCGAGGCCGCCGTATTCGGGCGCGACGGTGATCCCCAGCAGCCCCATCTCGCCCATCTTGGGCCACAGGTCCTGTGCGGGTGAGTGAGCGCCAGCAGTGGGGGACGGGGACGGGGACGGGCGGACGACGCACGGCGGGGAAGGTATTCGATTTGTCGATCTCCGCGGCGCGGGGCGCGACCTCCTTCTCCGCAAAGTCGTTCACTGCGTTTCTGAACTGGATAAGATCCGGTCGGTGGGGCGACGACATCGGGAGGCCACGCGATGCGGACGGACCTCGTGCTCTTCGTCTGTCAGGCCCGACACGTCGACGTTGTAGAAGGACGCGAGGCGGCGCGTAGTGTAGCGGGGCGCGAGGCGGACGGCGCGGCGGGGGAGGGCTTGGAACAGCGACATGGTGTGGGGGAGAGCGATCGTGTTTACCCGACGTCATCACACGGATCAGGTGTTGACTGTGCGTGGGAAGGCCGCTATTCCTATCCCCGGGTACCGGGCCTGTGAAATTGTGACAGTTCAGAATGGCTTCAGGAAACATTCCAGTCGCTGAAAATCGATCTGAACGCGCTAAAAGAGATTAGTTGGGTTTCTGCCTCACGGGCGGACCATTGGCTGTGGCACTCGACTGTGCCAAGTGCTTCTGTATTGGTGAAATCTAATCAGCGCACTCTCGAGCCAAGTCTCAAACGCTCAATCAAGCGTAATGTCATCTCCGAGGTGCCCAAATTGGCCAGGTGAAGATCGATCAACCACTGCACATGATGTACATAAGTAAGTTTTCAGTGGAAATTACGGCCGCACTCAATCACGGCCATCAGACGCTCTGCCGCCGGATGCCGAAGCTTTTGATATGTTCTTTCTTACAGTACCATCAAGGGTTCATTCTGCCCTACCCTGAAATTCGGCGCCGCGTGTCTCCATTTGTTTTCTGTTCCATTTTACTTCGTGTCACACTCCATTGCGTTGCGCAGGTGATATCGATTACGCGACGAGCACGGATATGGCATGGCAAATCGACTAGCACTGAGTCGAATTTACTTGCTCTCCGGACTAGCCACAGACTCTGGGGGTTGTGTAAGGACAGGAACCTTCGATGAACTATCTGCGGCAGGCGGAGAAGACTCGGCCGGTAATCCTGCGCCATACGTACTCGCCAAGGACTGGAGCTTTCCAGGCACAGAACCGCAGTTGAGCGCGCGCGGAGCTTTTAATGATCTCCATACGACCACCTGGTTATAGAAACTAGACTGCCTGCTGAGCCTGTTACGCATCTACGCAGTGTACCGGCGAGGATTAGACTTTGGCATCAATCAACTCCGAGTCGGTCCGCCGGATAGACCAAGCCATTTTTGTGCGGCACCTACACCCAGATATGCTTATTATAAACGGTGCTCTTCGGTCGGCTCTCCCCCGACTCTTCTCTCATGGCGAACTGGGTAGCATCTGCACTCCTGGGAGTGGTGAGGCTCTTATTTCTTTTTGCATTTCCAGGAAGTTGAGATCCTTGCAGGCCAACTCCTGGTATTTCCGGCGCTATGAGCCTACGAACGCCCATTCACCGATCCTCGCGATCCTGATCCAACCTCCCCTGGCCCTATTTCTTATTTCCATCCAAACCGGTGCATCGGTGCTCACCTGGACCGCATTGGGCTGCATGTATGCGGGACTCATCGCTGCTCTACTTCTGTCTATCACGCTCTACCGTGTCTCACCCTGGCACCCACTGTCCGCCGTCCCTGGTCCGGTGGGGTACAAGATCTCGAAGCTATGGACTCTACGTGATGTGGCGAGGGGAGATATGCACCGGGTGGTCCGGCAGATGCACGAGAAGTACGGGCCTGTTGTACGGACAGGTCAGTCTGGTTTGCGTTGTGTCCCACGCGATCGTCGACGCAAAGGTTGCAGGTCCAAACGAGGTGTCGATCGCGCACGTGGACGCGGTGAAGCGCGTGCTAGGGACGTTCTCCAAGGGACAGTGTGAGTGAAACCGTTCCCGATAGCACTGCTAATCAGCCGCTCACGATGTACTGCAGACTACGAGGCACGCTATGATCCGTCCCTAGGCACGCGCTCGCTGCTCATTCTGCGCGGCGAGGCGCATACGAGCCGGCGGCGGATCTGGAATCGCGGATTCAACTCAGATGCGATCGCGGGCTACGAGGCGATGATGGGCCGCCGTGTCTCACAGCTCCTCGACAAGCTCAGAGAGCAAGTGAAGTCTGGAGCGCCCGTGAGCATCTCTTCCTGGCTTGGATTTTTCACGTGAGGCGCATTCGTCTGTCCTCTCCGACCGATTTTACGTTGTTCCTTCGAAGGTTCGACTTTATGGGCGATATGGCGTGCGTAATGTGCCCTGGTCTAATCTAGCTTCGGAAAGTGTTTAACAGAGTGGCCTTCTAGATTCGGTGGAGGGTTCGAGATGCTTCGTGACGGAGGAGACAAAAACGGGCTGTGGAAGATCATCGAGGACGGGGCTCGGTGCGTTCCTTGTTCTGGTCATTGGAGCAGCAGCCTCCTGATGCTCCCAGAAACGTCGCCTTTCTCTCTCAGATACCTTGGATCGCGCCGAGCTTGATGTTGATTCCGAATCTGTACAAAGGCCTCGTTACTCTCCGTCGCTTTGGGGTCGATTCTGCTACGAACCGGGTCAATGCCGGCTCGAGTGTCAAGGATTTGTGGTACCATCTGGTGTGTCATTTCGGAAGCCATAGTAGGGATCTGACGAAGAAGTCCTCAGACCGACGAAGCCGAGCTAGAAAAGCAGCGGCCGAGTTTCCGAGAGGTCGTGGCGGATGGTGTATTGAGCATCATCGCGGGTTCCGACACTACTTCGACGGCACTAAGCGGGTCTGTGGTCCCACTTTTTATGTCGCTCCTCTGACGGGCGGAATTCAGCTTTATCTGGCTCCTACTGTCTCACCCTGAGGTCTACAAACGACTGCAGGCGGAAGTCGACAGTGTGTATCCGAAAGGCGATTCGCCGCTCGACTCGTCCAAGCACAAGCAGCTGCCGTTCCTCACCGCATGTCTGTGCGTTTGTGTCCCCGATATTGGCTAGCTATGTATCCCATTACTGATGGCAAGCGCAGAAGCGAATCGCTCCGGCTTGTTCCTCCAGTTCCTTCCGGCGGCCCTCGGCGGGTTCCTAGCAATGGTGGCCGTGTTATCGCGGGACAGTGCGGCTTGTTTACACGTTTCTCCGGAAACCCTCGATTGAGTTCGCCCCAGATACATCCCCCCAAACACGCAGATCTACGTCCCGCAGTACACGCTCCACCGATCCGCCGACAACTTCCACGACCCCGACGCCTTCCGGCCAGAGCGCTGGCTGCCGGGTGGCGCCGGGCCGGACCAGATCCACAACCCGCTCGCGTTCATCCCGTTCTCGTTCGGCTCGGCGAACTGCGTCGGCAAGCACCTCGCGATGCGGGAGATGCTCACGGTCGCCACGGCGTTGGTGCAGACCTTTGACATGCGGTTTGCAGAGGGCTTCGCGTCGGGGGAGTGGGCCGGCAATCTGCACGATGTGTTTGTGACGAGTATCGAGATGCCGTTGATGGTTGAGATGACTGTGAGGACGTAAATAGATGGAGTCGTGTTTTTTTTTGGCGGTTGCGAATGTGAGGGCTTTGTGTTCCCACGGTTTATCATCAGGATAATAACACCGCTATGCATATGGACAACTCGTGTTTAGCTTCCAACTGTCAGTCAAGCTCCATGTGCGCTTTCATCAGTTCCATATTGCTATAGTTGACTGATTAGGTTGAGAAGCTCGATGAACTCATCGTCTCTTTCTTCCGCGTAAACTTTTCTTTTTTGGACTGGGAAATCAAATACGAATGGCTGCAGGATCCCGATTATGCGGTCAAATGTAAGCCCCAAAGTTGGCTGATGCCCGCCATATTTGTCCCACGCCGTTCGAGACTGAATCCAGGAGGACTTTTGGTGTCCAACATCGCTGCCCTTGTCCAATGGCATCAGCCCCTGTCCGGCCCGAGCTTCTACTTTTTGGTGTGATTTTCCAATCAGGAGCATGTTACCCCATGCGCTGTATCTTGCACGTGTCACGTCCCTGGATATGGGCGCGATATGGGCGCGCATGGGCCGTGCATGAATAGGGAGTCGCATTGACTTTCTAGACCGGCCATCATAGAGGATGGATTTCTGGAAGGCGGAGCCGGCGGCTATCCGAACAATCAATCGGGAAGCCCGAGACTGCAGCTGATGCTCCCTTAACGGGCGGTCGTAGTTCCGTTTAGCTCTATACTACGAACATGGAAGTGCTCCCGCCGGCTGCTGGCCCCTCGGCGCGTATTTAATTCAGCATTGATCTTCCCCGTTAAGGTTTGTCATCAGTCCATTGGGACGGCCTCTTAAATACACCAAGGTCGCCTGCCCGTAATGACATTCTGATCAACCAGTTGCGCTGCTGCTCATGGCCCACTCGACGCTCATCCCGATCTGGACGACATCTGCGCTCATGGGCGTGGTGAGCCGTCGTCGCTGTACCCCCAGTTCCCAGTTGTTGAGTTTACTGCAGGTCAACCATTTTTATTTCCGGCGCTACGAGCCCACGAACGCGCATCGACCTGCCCTCGCAATCCTGCTCCAGCCGCCCCTCGCCCTCTTTCTGCTGTCCCTCAAAACAAGCGCAGCGCTCACCTGGACCGCATTGGGGTGCATGTATGCGGGATTCATCTGTGCTCTGCTCTCGTCCATCACGCTCTACCGTGTCTCGCCCTGGCACCCGCTGTCTGCCGTCCCAGGTCCGATGGGGTACAAGATCTCGAAGCTGTGGATTTTGCGCGACGTTGCGAGGGGAGATATGCACCGGGTGGTCCGGGGGATGCACGAGAAGTACGGGCCCGTTGTGCGGACAGGTCAGTCCGGTTTTTCCCGTGCGATCGTCGACGCGACTGTGCTGCAGGTCCAAACGAGGTGTCGATCGCGCACGTGGATGCGGTGAAGCCCGTACTCGGGGCCCTCCCCAAAGGCCAATGTGAATATGCATTTCTGAACACACGTAGCTTGCGATGCTGATTCCACCGATTTCACGCAGACTACGAGGCCCGCTACGACCCGTCCCTCGGCACGCGCTCGCTGCTCATCCTGCGCGGCGACGCGCACACGAGCCGTCGACGCATCTGGAACCGTGCCATGAACTCAGATGCGGTGGAGGAGTACACAGCGACCATGCGCCGCCGGGTGTCGACGCTGCTGCAGAAGCTCGAGGCGCAGTCGCTGACCTCTGCGTCGACCGACCTTTCCTCTTGGCTGGGATATTTCACGTAGGCTCCATTCGTCTTCCGCGGAAAATGCTGACACGTCCACCACAGCTTCGACTTCATGGGGGATATGGCGTGCGTGATTTTTCCCTTGTTCTGTTTCAGAGAGAGGAGCACGATTATGGCAGATTCGGCGGTGGATTCGAGATGCTTCAGGATGGCGGAGACAAGAACGGGCTCTGGGAGGTCATCGAGAACGGAGCTTGGTGAGCATCGTTGTTCCGGTCACCAAGAGCGCTGCGAGCGGATCTTTCCAGGTCTCTGGCATTCCTCTCCCACATTCCTTGGCTGTCCCACAGCGTCATGCTGCTGCCAGGTGTCCAGGGGGGACTCATGAAACTCCGTCGGTTTGGGGTGGCCTCTGCGACAAATCGTGTCAACGCTGGTTCGCGGGTCAAGGACTTGTGGTACCACCTTGTGAGCTGCTGAAATGCACGGGCCAGTTGGAGTGGATGTCTGATGCCAGTGCTAGACTGACGAGGCCGAGTTGGAGAAAGAGCGGCCGTCTTTCCGCGAAGTCGTAGCGGACGGTGTGTTGAGCATCATCGCCGGCTCCGACACCACGTCCACCGCCCTGAGCGGGTGCGTCATTATCTTTCATTGTCCTCTAGCACTGAGACCACCCAGGCTTTTCTGGCTGCTGCTGTCTCACCCGGACGCCTACAAACGAGTGCAGGCCGAAGTCGACGGCGTGTATCCGCGCGGGGACTCGCCGATGGACCCGAGCAAGCACAATCAGCTGCCGTACCTGACTGCGTGTCTGTCAGTTTGCGATAATTACCTATAGCCAGCCCTGTGGACCCGCGCGCTCATGTGAAATCCCAGGAACGAGGCGCTCCGGCTTCTTCCGCCGGTACCCTCCGGCAGCCCGCGCAAAGTCCCCGGTGACGGCGGCGGGAGAGTCATCGCCGGACAGTAAGTCTTGCTCTCCTCGTACTTCCAACAGAAACAACGGAGTAACTTGGATCGTCTTGGCAGATACATCCCTCCCGACACGCAGGTATATGTCCCCACGTACACGCTCCACCGGTCTGCCAAGAACTTCCATGACCCTGACACTTTCAGGCCAGAGCGGTGGCTGCCCGGTGCCCCCGGCGCAAACCAAAATCACAACCCGCTCGGGTTCATCCCGTTCTCGTTCGGCTTCGCGAACTGCGTCGGCAAGCACCTCGCGATGCGGGAGATGGTCATGGTCGGCGCCGTGCTGGCGCAGACGTTCGACATGCGCTTTGCCGATGGATTTGCTGCCGAGGAGTGGACTGAGCATTTGCATGATGTATTCGTGACGAGTATTGGGATGCCACTGCTGGTCAAGCTGACCAAGAGAACGTGAGTGCATAGCGATCCGCGTTTCCGCCTGGTTTCCCACGGTTGGGGTAGCACGTGAATTCGATGACTACCTGTTCCCACGGTTCATCACTACTAGTAAACATTAGTCTCCACTACCGTACACCCCAAGCACAGAATCCTGCATACGATGCCGCTGCCCGTGGAAATCGCGCTTTTCTGAGACATCGATAGTTTTGCCTTTCGAGTGCCAGTGGAATGTCGAAGCCCGTGCGCGGTTTTCGGCTCGCCCAATCACTGATGGAAGCTTGCTGTCCTATGACTCCCAATCGGCCAGTAATCGTCCGCCTGATCGGAGTCGCTGACGGCAACAGACTTTGTTTGAATGATCATCTCCGCTCGGAAGCCTTGTATTGCCAGATAGCGGGTCTACATCCACCGATGTGACCAAAAGATAATGACGCTCCGTGAGCAGGAATTGCGTACTTGACATTTTGCCTATTATCCACTGAGTCCGTATTTCCTGCATCATGCCAATGCTTTTAGGATAAAAGCATCGCATCGAGCCGCCTAGCTGCATACTTGACCCCCCATGCAACAAATCTGGCTCCCACCCGCTTTACTTGGTGTGGTCAGTGTCCGACATCACTGTTCCCAAAACCCGTGCTCACATCGCCCTAGCTCAACCACATCTTCTTTCGCCACTTTGAGCCAGGCAATGCGCACTACCCTCTTTTAGCGATCCTCATCCAGCCTGCGCTGCTCCTCTCGTTCCTCTTCCATGGCACGCCCAGTGTGCCCACCGTTCTCGGTGTCTACGCGACATTCATTGGCTCCCTTTCGCTCTCCATCGTGCTTTACCGGCTCTCCCCGTGGCACCCCCTCGCATCGGTCCCCGGCCCGGCTCTCTACAAGATCTCCAAGGTCTGGAGCCTCCGCGACGTCGCGCGGGGGGACTCGCATCGTGTCCTCAGACGGATGCATGATCAGTACGGCCCGGTCGTCCGAACCGGTGCGTTTCTTGTTTCCTGTCCGAGTCGTTCTCGTGCGCGGGGCACGCCGCTCATTCATTCTCTTGCCCTCCAGGCCCGAATGAGGTGTCGATCGCGCACACCGACGCGGTCAAGGTCGTGCTGGGGACGTACCCCAAAGGCCAGCGTGAGTGCCGAGGTTACCCGCGTCACGGTGGGAGTCCTGCTGACCGCTTCTAGATTACGAGACTCGCGGGGACCCTAACGTCCCAGCCAAGTCGCTGCTGCTGCTCAAGGGAGAGGCGCATGCAAACCGCCGTCGTATCTGGAACCGCGGCCTCAACTCAGCCTCAATCGCCGCCTACGAGGTGACCTTGGTGAAGCGCATCTCGCAGCTCCTGGAGAGGCTGGAAGAGCAGTCGCTGTCAGGCTCGTCGGTCAGCATCAACAAGTGGCTGGGCTTTTTCACGTGAGCACAGCTTCCGGCAAGCTTTCCTGTCGTGCTGAATGGTTCGTCCCAGGTTCGACTTTATGGGCGATATGGCGTGCGTGCAAGAGCTGCCTGCCGTGTGTCTCTGATACCTGCTTACGTATAATCCAGGTTCGGTGGCGGATTCGAAATGATGCGCGATCGCGGAGATAAGGACGGGCTGTGGAAGATCATCGAAGATGGCACTCGGTGCGCGTTCTCAAGCAATTCCTTTCTCCAACGCACGATTGTTCAGATGCATTTCTCCCTCTCAGTGTCGCGGCGTTTATTTCCCCGATTCCCTGGATTTTACCGACGATACGGCTGATCCCGGGTCTCGCCAAAAACATCAACACCCTCCGCAAATTTGGTGCCACGTCTGCTGCCAACCGTATCAAAGCTGGTTCGCTCGTCAAGGACTTGTGGTATCATCTGGTATGTCTTCGCTCGTGTTCTGACCTGAAGGCACTGAAATCGTGTCTCCTCCCAGACGGACGAAGCCGAGGTGGAGAAACAGCGCCCCTCGATCCCCGAAGTGGTTGCAGACGGCGTGCTGAGCATCATCGCAGGCTCTGATACGACGTCCACAGCACTGAGCAAGTGCGTGTTGCCCACTGTCATATTTCATGACACAGCTCCTGATCCGCTGATCGGACAGTCTCATCTGGCTCTTGCTGTCGAACCCAGCGGTCTACAAGCAAGTTCGGGAGGAAGTCGACAGCGTCTACCCGCGCGGGGACTCGCCCCTCGATGCGTCCAAGCACTCCCAGCTCCCCTTCCTCACCGCATGCATGTCAGTCCTGCTAGTGGATCAGTGACTACCCCCCACTCACGCACCCGCACACAGCAACGAAACACTCCGGCTTCTCCCCCCCGTCCCCTCCGGCGGGCCCCGAAAGGTGCCCGTGGGCGGTGGAAAGGTCATCGCCGGGCAGTACGCATCCTTCGTCTCGTCTCGTCGCGTATTTGAATCAGCTGACACCCGCTCGCAGATACGTCCCACCGAACACCCAGATTTTCGTGCCGCAGTACACCCTCCACCGCTCCGCCGAGAACTTTGATGACCCGGACACCTTCAAGCCCCAGCGCTGGCTGAGCCCCGAGTCGGCCGAGAAGCACAACCCACTCGCGTTCATCCCGTTCTCATTCGGCTCGGCGAATTGCGTTGGCAAGAATCTCGCGTGGCGGGAGATGATCATGGTCAGCGCGGCGCTCATCCAGACGTTTGACATCAGCTTTGCAAAGGATTTCACGGGAGCCGAGGAATGGAGCAACCATCTCCACGACCAGTTCGTCACCAGCATCGCCGTGCCCCTCCAGGTGACCTTGGCCAAGAGGGATTAGTTCGTTAGTTGTAGCCTGGTTGTTACCTTTGAGGAAAACGCCACATTCGCTAGATTGATATTCGTTAGTGTTTTTGAAAGAAAGTAGTATTTGGAATCCATTATGCATCAGCTGGTGGCGTTGCGGCTATCGTTAATTACCCACGGCTCAACATTCTGATATTGATCATGCAGATCACCTTGATCACCCCCCAATTCCTACCATTTGGGTAGGTTTCTTCGGCCTCCGAAACCTAACTAAATGGTAGCGGGCAGATGAGCCGTAGGCGGCAAAATTCAGGCTTTGGGCAGCCCAGAAAAAATGGTTTTTTCCCCCAGAAATAGCCCATTTGGAGACATTCCAGGACACATAGCTGCAGATGGTTATCATGCTTCTGAGTTGCTCAGTAGAATATAAATTGAGTATTTTCGGGGATTACAAAACATTGCTCAGCATGACTAGAGGGGACAAAGGTATTATCAGATATTTGTAGTCATTACTAAGCATTACCAGTGGGTACTACAGTATTATTGGGTATCTTTGGCCAGTACTGTCGCAGACAATATTGCGCAGTGGAGATACGACCAGTAGCGATCACCTAAAGACACAGAGTCTCAGCGAGTGTAAGACACAGGAGCTATACATTAGCTATACCTAAAGACACAGAGTCTGTGGTACAAGTCATAAGTAAGGTCATTAGATCGTAAGGGAGAATGCATACCTCAGCAAGTGTAAGACACAGGAGCTGAGGATATGGAGCGTATAGTACTAGGTTTATATACCAGTCTGGAGCAGATATCATGATGTCATAGTGGAGTAATGATATTGTAGATGAGTAATGGATGACGCAATAATGAGATCAGGTATGAGGTCATTGTGGAGTGAGCCAAAGTAATCTAAGAATACTACTTATGATGTCATGTCTACATACTGTGATAGTCGCTAATACAAACAAGCTTCAACACTCCCACTTGACTAAACAGTCGGATCACGAAGACCCAAAGACAGCCGATGTTGTTGGAACTTCACCCATGCCAAAGACTTTGTGAGCGTATCTGAGATCATCGCATCAGTTGGCACATGGTAAAGTTGGACATTGCCAGCTTCAACAGATTCTCGTACAAAGTGATAGCGGATGTCAATGTGCTTTGTCCTCCTATCATGAACTGGATTTACTGCCATAAAGATAGCGCCTTGGTTATCAACACAAAGAGGCGTGGATGGCAAGTCATATCTGAGCTCAGTCAACAAAGTGCGGATCCAGGCAATCTGGCACATAGCATTGCTCAGAGCCATGTATTCGGCCTCTGTTGAGGACAAAGCGACCGTGGGTTGGCATCTAGAAACCCAGGTCACTGCACAACCGGCAATGAAGAAGGAATATCCCGTGGTTGAATGCCTGTTGTCTTTGTTCTCCGCCCAATCAGCATCAGAATAACTGATAAGGCCTGCGCCAGTGGAACCATCATAGCAAAGTTGGTAGCGCTTGGTGCCCTGAAGGTACCGGAGTATGTATTTTGCCATGTTCCAATGATGTTCTGATGGGTTGCTGTTGAACTTTGAAAGATGGATGACTGCATAGGCAATGTCGGGCGTGTACCAAGCATGGCGTATAGAAGACTGCCAATCAACTGCTGGTAACGGGTACGACGGTCTTCATCAACTTCTCCATCATGCTTCTCGAGCACAATGCCGGAAGGCAGGGGAGTACGAGCTTCTTTGCAAGAAGACATCCGGAAACGTTCTAGAACTCCTTCGATATAAGAAGTCTGATCTATCCAGATTTTATGCGCTTTGCGATCACGAACTATATTCAGACCAAGGAAATCCTTCGCAGGACCAAGATCTGTCATTTTGAAGCGGTTCACGAGCAATGATTTGATCCGCGCTATCTCCGGCAGATTGTTGCCCATAATGAGCATATCATCAACATACAGCACCAAGATGATGACTGTATCTCCCATTTGTTGGCGATATGTGTAGACACCGGCGTCGGAGTATGTCCGAGCAAAACCAAGTTCGAGGAGGGCATTGTGGATTTTGATATTCCACTGACAAGACACCTGTTTGAACCCATAGAGTGATTTATGAAGGCATGCCACCTTTTCTTTTGGCCATGACAAGAAACCTTTGGGTAATTCCGGAAGTTCCATATAGATTTCTTCCTCCAGATCCCCGTTTAGGAATGCCGTTTTGACATCCATGGCATGAATCTCCCAATCTTCGAGAGCAGCCAGAGCCATAACTATGCGCAAGGATTCGTAGTGCAATACTGGCAAGAAGGTCTCATCATAGTCAAACCCATGAACCTGAGTAAATCCCTTGGCAACAAGTCGTGCTTTGAAACGACCGTCACGCTTCCTGCTAAACACCCATCTGCATCTGACAGTCTTTCGACCACGTGGAAGGCTGGTCAAATCCCAAGTACAGTTTTCCTCGAGAGAGTCCAGTTCTTCGCGCATCGCGCGCTCCCACTTGAG